CGCCGCGTCTCCTCCTCTCAGAGTCTCAGGACCGCGCCGGGCCCTTCGCCCCCGCGCACCTGTCACCCGCGCGCCGCACCGGCGCAGCCCGCCCCGCCCCCGGGCCGGCCCTCGGCCCCGCCGAAGCCCCTTCCGCGTTTCGGCCCCGCTCGCCGCTCTGGCCCCGCCCCCGCGCCGGCCGCGCAGCCGCAGTGGGCCGCGCCGGGCTGGGCTGCGGAAAAGGGGCGGCCCTTCCCTCCCCGCCAGGAAAACCAGAGGCTAGGACGCTTTCTCCCGACCAACCCAGGCTTTCCCGTTTTTCTCTTTAAACTGGAAGTGGTATCGAGAAAGAAAGCGTTAAGTCAGGGGCTCTTTTGAGTGCAATGTTGGTTTTTACGGTTTGGAGGAGCGTTGAATAAATTCTTGCAAAGCGTACACCTCCCTGTAGCAAATCGTTTCACAGACTCTGGGTCAAAGGTCTGACTCCACTGGTGTTGATCTTGGATGCGATGGTTAACAGTTCTGAGCCTCAGTTTCTTCATTCATAAAGCGGCAGTTCCTTGCCCCATTCTTAAGACACATTCTTCTCTTGACTGCAAGGACACCATACTTCCACTCCTCCTTTGTCTCCACTCCTGTTTCAACAGCTGCTCCCAAGGTGACATCTCCAGCCTCCCTCTCATCTCCACCTGTGCTCTCTGCCTGGATTCTTCTATCCATCACCATGCTGTAAATTATCTCAAGGCACGGATGATGCCCAAATCTCCATCTGCAGCCCTGTCCTTCCGCCCCTCCTTATATCAGTTGTATCCAATAGGCATCTCAAACCCAAAATACCCAAAATTGAAAATTTGCATACTCACCTCCTCACCTATGCATCCCCCAGTCTTTTCCATTTTGGTACATAGCACCACCATCCACAAAGTTGTTCAAGTTTAGCCACCTGAAATCCCTCCTGGTTCCTCTCCTTTTCTCCATATTAATACATCAAATCCAGTCAACTCTATTTCTAAAGTAACACTGAATGCTAGAACCTGCCCCCCTTTCTCCATCTTCACTACCATCACCCTAGTCCAGTGGGCGGCAAACTGCGGATCCCGAGCCACATGCGGCTCTTTGGCCCCTTGAGTGTGGCTCTTCCACAAAATACCAACTTCTGCGCATGGTCTGTGCATGGGCCACGAAGTTTCAATCGCACTGTACATGCGTGCCCGCACGTGGTATTTTGTGGAAGAGCCACACTCAAGGGGCCAAAGAGCCGCATGTGGCTCGCGAGCCGCAGTTTGCCGACCACTGCACTAAGAAAATGGAAATAAGTCAGTCTACACAGGCCAGTTACTGCCCAATTCCATTCCAACCCCGTTCTGGGAAAGGTAAGGCCAGAACACCGGGTGCCAAGAATGTTCTTGAAGCAGCAGAACAAAAGCGTTTACTTCCCAGAGACGTCCTTGGAGACCCGGCTCACACCCCCGCTGTTCTGTTCCGCGTACCTGTCTGAATAGCCCGTGGTTTTCAGAATCGTGTCAGCCTCTTTGGTGCTCTTCTTTTTCCAATAGAAATCTGAACTGTCATCCCAACTAGAAAAAGAACTGCTCCGTAGCTCCATCGAATCGTCGAAGAACCTGATGAGAAAGAGGAGAACAGTGACGTGAGGCCTCACAGTGATGTCGGGTACAGGGGGACGGCGCCTCCAGCTCCCGTGAGTGGCGGGCAGCCATGTGGCCTGACCCGTGAACAGGAGCAGACATGAGGTGAGTCATTCCCAAGGACTTTGCTCAACCTGCCCGGCCCCATCTCCTGCTGCAAGAGGTGTGTTCCAGGGGCTGCGGCCTCAGGCAGGTGCTGAAACGTCTATTCACCTGGACGGTCAAGGTGCCACGTGAAGGACACGCAATCTGGACAGTCACCTGTACCCGCAGCTGACATCAGTGAAGAACAAACCATGGTGTGTTAAGAGCTGAGGGGATGTTTGTCACTGCAGCACAAGCTAGCCTATCCGGACAGCACGCGGCTACAGGTTACATATTTCACTTTCGCTGGGTCTCGTTCTGCCAAGTTAGTCACAACTGCTGCCGCCGGGCCTGGGGAACGGACGGCCTCCGAGGAGCTCCTGCCGGCAACACCTGCCCGTCAGCCCCAGGACAAGGCTGCAGTCCTCGCAGCATCTACCACTCACTGTCAGGGACGCTCATCGGCCTCCCTCTGGACTCAGATGGAGCGAGGGATCGGCCCGCGTGAGGCGGGTGCTCCTCCAGTCTGAGGGGCGTGGACGGGGTCTGTGAGCATCGCCGAGCAGATGGCCTCCCGGGTCCATTTACACTTTCCGTAGCTGAGCATCGCCGAGCAGGCACTGCCCAGAGGCCAAGCTCGACAGCGTCGGCTTCCGGTCCTGTGCGGCGTGAGTCTGACCAGAGCAGCAGGGTTTGCGGGAACAGCTCGGATCGAGAGGGGAGGCAGGTGTGCCAGAGCCTTAAGAAAAGGGGACTGTGCCCTAACCAGTTTGGCTCAGCGGATAGAGCGTCGGCCTGCAGACTCAAGGGCCCCAGGTTCCATTCCGGTCAAGGGCATGTACCTTGGTTGCGGGCACATCCCCAGTAGGGGATGTGCAGGAGGCAGCTGACCGATGTTTCTAACTCTCTATCCCTCTCCCTTCCTCTCTATAAAAAAAAATCAATAAAATATATTTTTAAAAAAGAAAAAAAAAGAAAAAGGGACTGTGTTATCCCAGAATTCCTAATTGCTTTGGATGGAAAAGCCCAGCCAGCCACGCGCGCCCCAGGAAGCTGGAACTCAGGAGGGTCAGGAGAGGCCGCCTCCAGCTTGGGTCTCGGAAAGGAAGGTGGTAGGAGAGAATGTGGCTTTCTGCAGGGCATTGGGAAACGAGGTGAGCACTGGCTCCCAGGCCACAGGGAGCCGCTCAGACAGACAGACCCCTGGGCTGTGGGAGGGGCCTGCAATCAGAGATGAATAGAAAACAAGTAGGCAGGGACCCCAATGAGCCAGGACTGAGGGGGCGGGGGGAGCGAAGAACAAATATACTTTTTCCTGACAAACCATGACAGAGGTGAGGGGTAAACCTGCTGTTTGACGCAGAGGTGAGAGCTCTTGTGGACAACAGGGAGAAAGCAGGACTTCCGGTGTGGGTCCCGCCTCCTCAAGAGGGTCACTGAGAGCAGATGGCATCCCGCTAGCCTCTGGGGCAGGGAACGTGGAAGCTGAGCAGCCTCCCTGTGCTGCAGTGGGGGCCCCGAAGCCCCGAGCTGGAGGAACAGCCCCTCCCCGCGCAGAGCAGAGACCAGACGACGGAGTGACCTGACGTCACCGTCACCGGAGAAGAAGGCCCGGAAGACGGGACTGCCTGCGGCCTGGGGAGTCCACCTCAGGGTCTGTAAGGACCAGGGAAAGACTGAGCCCAGTTCCACAAGGGATTTAATGCCCCCTGACGAGCTCTGTGAGGCGAGGAAGCGGGCGAGGAGACATAGTCCCCGGAAACCCAGGGGGATGTAAGTCTGAATGGACTGAGGAGGGGGTGCTGCAGGCCCCGGAGGGTGCTGGGTGCCCGGGGCACTGGACAGGGTGGTTGGAATTTCTTCACACTCTGAGGTTGTGAACTTATTGGATTTTGCAGATTTGATATCACTGTTAGGAAACACTCATTTACATAAACCAAAGTGCTAGACCACAGGGGCACCAGATTTTAAGAAAATGACTGAATGATTCAAAAACAGGAGAGAGAAGCCACTCTGCTGGGATCCTACTGATTAGCAAGAGCCGCTATGCAGCATTCCACGGGCTGGCTGGGCGGGGCTCTCTTCCTACACGCCCCCGCCTCCCCCACCGCCCCCCCCCCCACCCCAGCTCTCTGAGCTCTCCCACATGCAGGGGCGCGCAGCAACTCACTGCGGGACAGAGAGACGTCTGGCCAGGCCCCAGCGGCCCGCTGGAGGATGGGCAAGGGGACTGTGAACGGCCGTGCGCACTGGCCTCTCCTCAGAAACACGCCCGCCTCCAAAGCTCATCTCCACATCGTTAGGGACTTTCTACTGTTTTGATTTCTAGGTCTTAGTGTTCAGTGCTTTTTAAAAATATATTTATTGATTGATTTCGGAGAGGAAGGGTGAGGGAGAGAGAGATAGAAACATCCATGATGAGAGAGAATCATGGATCGGCTGCCTCCTGCACGTCCCCCACTGGGGGTGGAGCCCGCAACCCAGGCATGTGCCCTGACTGGGAATTGAACGGTGACCTTCTGGTTCATAGGTCGACACTCAACCACTGAGCCACGCCAGCAGGGCTCAATGTCTTTACTTTAGTTTTGCCCTCCCACTCCGTCCTTCTCAACCCCGAACCTCCCTTAGCCCCGCTGCCAGCACCCGAGCATCACATCTGAGTTACAGCTGCAGACACTGTGCGCCCCCCTGCAGGCCACGCTGACATTGTAAGGCTGAGCAAACTGTTCTAGTCTCATCCCTTTGTACTCAATATATAATTACATTGTCCATGTCCTGGAAATAATGGAACTCAATAAAAAACAAAGAGATGGTTGACCTTCTTTTTAATAGAAACAGCCCTCTTCCATAATTCATAATAGTCAAGTTCTAATGGGCTAATGAATAATTTGGAAGCAATGAGAGCTCTTCATGGAACTAATCTGCTGGCTTTCCGAAAGCCCATGTGCAGGAACTCAGCTGCCAAGGACGGCCAGCGCCCTGTGCCACCCACGGGGGTGAGGATGAGGCTAGAGAAGGCGGCAGCTCCTCACGATCCACACGCACAAGGTCGGTCTGGCAGGGACCAGCAAGCGTGGTCCCTATAAAAACACCATCTGCTCCCAGGTTTCAAACCATAAATAATTGTGTCCTAGCAACGAGGGGAGGGCCTGAGGGCTGGCGCTCTGGCCGAGCTTCGGGAGGCGCGGGCAGGTGGAGCTGTGCGGGGCCAGGCGATGCTCCACGGTTTCCAGGGCCCCGCCCTTTCCCACGCGCTCCAAGCAGCAGTGCTGCCGGAACCTGAGCCGGATTCCCCCCTTTCCTGTGCCTCCTCTGCAGGAGCTGCTCCTGAGCAGGGAGGCTGTGGAGAAGCCGAGAGGCAGTGCAGAGCCGCATCCCCGGGCCTCGGAGCCGCCGCCCGCCCTCATGAACCACCAGCTGAATGATCTGATCTGCACGCGGCTCCAGAGCAAGTTAGATGTTTCCCTTCCCGTGTAGGAAAGGATTTGCGTTCTTTTAAGAGGCACGACCGGGTGTTCCCTGTAAGTGCGATAGCCAGGTTACTCACACAGGCAAACAGGAAGCCGCCCGCTCGCTGAGGTCCTGACCGGGGACACCACTGGGCTAGGCATTTCTTTCTTTTTTTGATAAAATATCTGGACTTGAAAGAATTCAAAGCGATGGATAGTGCTCTCTAGGAGCTTGGACAGGGGCAGAATGAAACAGAACAAGTGCTACATATGTGAAAATGCTCCAAGCCTGCATGCCTGCTCCCCAACTCTACTGCCCCCCCCCCCAGATGGCAGTGGCAGGAACCGCCCCGTGAGCACCACCGCTAGCGACAGGCCCACGTTCCATTTCCCCAAACTGCTCACTTGAAGGCGGCCGTTAAGGAGGTTTGTTTAAGTGTCTAACAACAGTGATCAAACATTTAGACGGAGTCACATGCTTCTTGAATTGAGTTTCTATGCAATAACAGCAGGTAAAATAACATCAGTAACAGACACGCACCATTCCAAACGCTCTGTTTGTATGAATGCACTTGACCCTCACACTGCCTGTGAGGCGGACACGCCAGCACCCTAACCCACAGAGGTAAGTGCCGCACAGAGAGGCCAAGGAACTGGGCCACGGTCACCTGTCCTAAGTGGCAGAGTCAGGATTCAAATCCAGCCGCCTGGTTCCTGGGCCTACACTCTTACCCCCTCGCTTCTCAGCTGGTGCCCCCCGCCCCCCCAGTAACATCCCTAGTTTACTGGGTGCCTTTTTAGCAGGACTGTCCCTGTGCTGGTCAGGTTGTTGGAGGAACCTCACAAATGAGATGCTTCAAGTTCACACCTGCTTCCCCCCTCCCCCCTCCCCCTGCCCCTGCCCCTGAGGTCGCTGGAACCTGAACCAGGGCCTTCTCCAGGGTCAGCTTCACACCAGTTGGGCAACTTGTCTGATCAGATGGTGGCGCTCAGGGGCAGGGAGCAGCTTGACCTGGGAGCCTTCGGAGCCCAGCAGTAATTTATCAATAAACACGCACACACAGAGAATGTGCTTATGCTCTGCCCCGCGGACCGGGGACCCCTGAGCTGGTATCTGAAACAAGAGGCTCAGGTGTGAAATGTTCCAACTCTGGGAATGAGACTATAACTCGGTATGTTCCTTCAGGAGTTTGCACATTTCTCCACTTTCCCATTTTCCTACCTTATTATCAAACATCTTTTAAAAAAAATTTTTTTTTAATTTCAGAGAAGAGGGGAGAGGGTGAGAGAGATAGAAACATCAATGATGAGAGACAATCATTGATTGGCTGCCTCCTTCAATACCCCTACTGGGGAGCGAGCCCACAACCCGGGCATGTGCCCTGACCAGGAATCAAACCATGACCTCCTGGTTCATAGGTCGACACTGAGCCATACGGGCTGGGCCAAACATCTTAATATTAGCAAACACTGCCTTCTTACAAATGTTTCCCCAACTTTTTCCAAAGGACCCCTTGACTCCAGCCAAAGCGTTTAAAAACAGAGAAGTAGCCCAGCTGGGTGTGGCTCAGTGACTGAGCGTCGACCCAGGAACAGGAGGTCACCGGTTCCATTCCCGGTCAAGGCACATGCCTGGGTTGTGAGCTAGGTCCCTAGTAGGGGCCATGCAGAAGGCAGCCAATCCATGATTCTCTCTCATCATTGATGTCTCTATTTCTCTCTCCCTCTCCCTTCCTCTCTGAAGTCAATAAAAATATATTCAAAACAAAACAAAAAGCAGGGAAGTAAACGAATAAATTCATGCTAATCACTGCTTTTCAAAACAACTTTAAGGATGATTTTAACACACTACCTTGAGCTGGAAGTAAAATATGAATCATCGTTGTCATCGCTGTACTTTTTTCTTGGTTTTGCTATGACTGGTGTTTCCTGTTCAATGGTCTGCATATCTGAAGTTGCTGAATGTGAAATACCACTTGAGAAAAGAGAATAAAATGGAAAAAACCAACACTAGTTAGTTCATAAAGACACTATATTCACCAACAAATGTTTTCATCTATCCTCTCAACAAAAATAAATGGATTGGTGGGGTTAAAAACATGAACGATAAAAACTATTTCTTGGTATAAGCACTGAAACTACTGGACCATAGTGAGGACTGTAACCAGTCACACAGGTGCAGTGACATCATCGGCTCTGCCTGGGGCATCCACTGAGGGGCAAGTCAGACCTAGTTCCTATTTTCTAAGAATCAGATTTGGAAGTTTTTATGCCACAATCAACACCAGCATAAAGCAAACCATCAAAGACAGGAAGGAAGAGGAGAAATACTGCTGAAGGTGAAGGAACAGGCAGCCCCTCAGGAGGCGCAAACTGGCTGGCGTTCTGCCCGAGAAAGCGGGCTCACGTACCTCCTGCAGTTTCCAAAGCCCATGCCGAGCCGCTCCGACTCCGCCTTCGTTTTCCCACTCATGTTCTTCTTCTCATCGTTCTTCACCTGAATCTCAAGATCCTTATAGGCCAATCGTAAGGACGAGACACTGCCAAAGACCAAATGCTCCTTAATTCAGCGTTCATTCTGGGTTAAGATAAAACACTGAGCAAAATTAAACACGCCACTTACACTCCTAGCTTTGTGCTTCTCCATAATGAACAATTCTGAAGGCAAGCTGGCATTTGTTAAAGTAGATGCTCAAGAAAGTTTAAATGAGTTGGTAGCCACGCTTGGTTGCTGCTGAGCCTACATCCCTGCCCTGTTTATATTTCCTATTACCATATAGTAATAACTTACATTACCTATTATGCATAACGACGTACACCAAAACTACTTCCAGATAAGAGTCAAAAGCAGAATTTCCTACTTGGACTGATATTTATTATACTTACACATTCCACATCAAAAGTAAGAGACTAATCTCATTGGTTTCCTTTGGTTTAAGGTAAAAATATATATAACTTGGCTTTACAAATAGATAAATTAAGGGGTTACTAATTGCAAAAGATGCTTCAATTTACAGAAACGTTTCCTGTTCTCTGTGTCGTCGGGCTCCTGAAAGCATTTCAAACGGAACAGTCCTTCCTCTGCCACAGACTTCGCTGCACTGCCCGTCAGTCAGACCCGAGCATCTACTTCCCAAAGACCAGGTACGAATAATGCACCAAAAGGGGCAGAAAGAGGAACACAGAGCACTGTCCCTTACTCTGATTTCTAAAGACGCTTAATTTTTCATAAAGAAAACTATGCCCATATTAGCAATAACAAGAGTGTATATTAGGAAGAGAGCAACCAGACTCAGGGCCCTGAAAAGCGATATATCTACCATATCGGGTCTCTGCGCTCTCAGCCAGCTTATAAAGTTGTGTAAAAGGTCAGGGATTGCTCCTGAGCAAGGTGCCCATGCACTCCACACCGGGGACATGCATTTCTGTGCAGGCACAGGGGCTGACAGCGGAGTTCTCGCTCAGGAAACGTCGTCTTGCTCTTACTGGTTCCTTCCCTAAGGAGTCAAGCAGGGCTCTGTTTCACGTTGAGCTGGCAGATTGCGCTTACTATTTCTTGGTCCTGCAGAGCAGGGGGTGGCAATAGACCCGTTGGATTACTCAGAAAAACATCCTCTTCCCAGCGCATTGGGAAGGAAACCACGGATCTGTCTGAAATCATGAATGATGGAACTGGCACAGGTTCTGCTGGAGAAGGCGAACGGATGGGGATGAAAGTCTAGTTCTCCTCTGAGGACCCGCCACGGGCGGCTGTCACTGCTAATGGTGAGCACCTGCACGGGCTCCCGGTGCCACGCTGTGCTCCGCGAGCACTACTGTAATTAAGTCAGACTCGTGCTCTCAGAGCTGCTGGAGCCCTTCCAGTGCCAGCTCCAGGGAGGGCCTGCAAGACACTCAGATGGTGAGGGGGGGACAGGGGGCCCTCTGCCACTTCTCTTCCTGCTGACTGTGCACAGACACCTCAGGGCGGGCGAGAGACCACCAGCAGGCGAGGATGAGGTGCTGCATGGACAGTTTAGTCGCACAGTCTGGGGTACAAGAAACAACTGTGTTCCTGGCAGTTTACTGAACTGAACTTTATTTACTTTAATAAAGTGAACAACTTCATTAACTGCAGAAGAACAGCAGCCGCATGTCTTAGGGCTAACACAGCTGGCACAGCCCGTCTGAAACCGAGTAGCGACGGGAGGGCGGATGGTGAGGAAGGCCCAGTGGTGCGGCTGTACTTAAATAGGCAGGGAAGCTTTTTTACGACGGGTTCCCAAATCAAATTCATAAACATCTCATGTCCCCTTTCGCTTACTTTATGGTCTGTGACACGGTCCTGGTGAAAGACACAGGCAGAGGCTGGTGCTGCTCCCATAGGACCGACCAGCTCCAGCGCCCTGGCCTGCAGGAAGGAGGGTGCTGTCCACCCGGGCTGGGCCCTCCTGGCAGGGACCACCCACGCTCGGGGAGAGCCCCCTGGAGCCCTGGGCAGAGCCCACTCCCAAATGCCAAGAGAAGCCCCCTCCCCAGGGTCTGAAACCAGCTCATTCAGAGATTACAGTGAAGCTGAGCAACTACATTTTACATGAATCTTTTCAAACCACATTTAACCGTAACACAGTTCAGTGCTGCCCCCTGTGTTCTAGGAGTTAAATGACAATTTCAAGTTATCTGGGTTCACCATACAAGTTGCAGTTAGCAAACGGTTAGGATGAGCAGTAAGAAATCAGAACGATGAGCATTTACTATGTCCCAGGCACGGTTTAATGTACTTTAATGAGCAGTAACTAAGTTGATCCTCAAAATAACCTCATAAAATAATTATTATTGTCTTCATCATGCTGTCTGTAATCCCTCAAGCTACACCTGGTAAAATACATGTGAAAATAACCGAGAAGCAGGACGAAGCTGCCTTCCTTCTGCGTAGCACTCCCCCTCGTGACCTGCCAGTCACCCCGTCACTTCCCCGATGCCCATGTTTCTCTTCTGTTTCCAGCACAAAGGAAACAAGAGCCTTCAGTGCTTACTTCACACGGTCTCCTGACGGGCCTCCTGGTTTTAGTTTCCTCCCCATTCTGCCTAATGCGGACCTCACCGCCAGACTCCCTGCGCCAAATGCCGCCTGCAGCGTGGCCCTCCTCGCAGACAACATCAATCTACCCCAACCTCACCAAGCTCCACCCATCATCCCACCCCTCCCGTCCAGCCGGTCCCCACGCACACACATCTCAATTCCCTTCATTTCCTCAGACTCCTTCCTCCCCTCCCACCTGTGCCGAGTGTGACTCAGACCGATGCGGCTCGGGCCCCTGGAGCCCACAGACCCACCGCCTCCCATCGTCTGTTCAGAACTCAGCCACCACGTTCAGTGGAGCTTCACCGGAGAAATACTCTCTCACTGCGGAGCTACAACTCACACACCATAACATGCACCCCTTCCAAGTACACCATCCGCAGTGTGCCACCATCACCACCACCTGATTCCAGAACATGTCCGTCACTCGCAAAACCAACCCACACCCCTGAGCCCCTCCCCGCCCTGCCACACCTGGCAAGCACGGGGCTGCTCTGCTCCCATCTCTGGGCGTTTGCCTGGCCATTTCCTACCCGTGCAGCACACAGGTGTGGTCTTTGCGACGGGCTTCTCAGCACAAACGCTGCAGTTCTATCCAAGCTGTAGCAGCAGTGCCAGTGCTTCCCTCTTCTTTAGGGGTGAATCTGCCTGGGTATGGACACCATTGTGTCCACCCGTTCCTCAGCTGATGGACGTCTGGGCTGTTTCTCCCTTTCGGCGACCGGGAGTCATGCTGCTCTGGCATTCACGTACAAGTTTTCTGTGCGGACCTATTTTTTACCTTCTCGTAGGAGTGGAACTGCTGGTCATACTGTAACTTCATGCTTAACTTTTTACATGACCACCAGCAACGTGTAAGGGACCTCATTTCTCTACATTCTCGCCAGCACCTGCTACTGTCTTCTCGACGCAGCCTCCTGTGAGTGAAGTGCCTCCCTGTGCGTTTCCCTCGTGACAAAAGGTGCTGAGCATCTCCCCTGGGTGAGCACCGCCCGACACACGTGGTCTCTCCCTTCCCGCCCTCACTGCTCTCCCTCGCCACGGCCTTCCTCCCTTCCAGGCTACACTTCATTGCGACACTCGTTTTCATGAGACTGTTTTGCATTTCGCTCCTCACACACGAAGACAGACGGCATCAGCAGAGCAACCTGGGCATTAACGCACAGTCCCAGCCACTAGGGCCTATCACTGTATCCGACTTCAACTCACATCGATTCTTCCTTCGGCGCCGTCCTGGCCAGGTCTTCCTGCTCCTTCAGTTTGTCCACGGCCTGGGCTTGCTTCTCCATTTCATTGAAGCACGTGCTCGTCAGTTTCTGGGCCCCCAAACTTCCTTTTTTGGCCCCAAGCTGGAAGACACACACGATGACATTCTACCCACCTGCTGACAAGGTTTGTGCCACAGCTGACACGTATGGGGGCACCGTGACAGCACCGGCCACCGTCCTCCTCTTGGTCCTCACAACTCCAGGAAGCGGCACTCTTCTGCCCACGTCACAGACAGGAGCTGGCGCTCCCGCAGCTGAGCGACACGAGCAGGACCGCAGCCAGCTGGTGCGGGGTCTGCAAGCTCAGCAGGTGACCCTCCAGGCCCACGAAATGCTACAAAATGCAACCAGGACAGGAACGCCCGGGAGCCCCTGCTGGTGTGTGTGAGAATTTCATCACCGACAGAAGGAGTGTTAAACACCCATTCTAGCGAGTCTTCACTCGGCGCCAGTCACCACACTGAGCAGAACATGGAGTTTTTCCAGGCCGTACTTGTTATACAGAATATGGCTCAAAGTAAATAAAAGCAGTGGCAGGGTGGCTTTCTTGAGGGCAGGGGCTGTTTCAGAACCGAACCACCCGATATCTCACACGTCATACTCACGCCTCGTTTAGCTTGACTTGGTTTCTTTTTCATGATCGAGGACACCTCTGTCAAAAAATACAAAGCCGAAAGTCAGACCAACAGAAACACGCACTTTTTCTATTTTCACTGTGTCCTTTAAAACACTCTACGGTGTCGCACAGTATTCAGGAGACGCTAACATTTCCCACGTTAGTCTGTCACCCAGAAGACAAGCACAGGGTGGGCCAAAGTAGGTTTACAGCTGTTTGTAAAGAAAATACAACAATTAACAAATAATACTTATTATTCGCGTACTCACGACTGTAAACTTACTCTCACCCACCCTGTCTGAGTGCATCGGAGTGGAGTCCTCCGTATTTGCACGTGGCGTCCAAACCCAGAAACGTGTTTCCTGGGCACCACACCGAAGAGAAAGGCAGCGCCGGCCGCCCAGGACTGGCTCAGGACTCGCCTCAGGGGCACCAGACACGCTCTCCCAGCAGCTCTCCTCTTCAGAAACTGGCAAAATTCTTTCCCATATGAAGCTGGCAGCATTGTACACAGCTCAAGCAGGTCGCCTATGCCTTCCCACCTCCACTTACAGACAGATTTCATCATGTTATTCAATAAGGGATGCAAAGCTCCCTGTTATTTTAGCAGCAGGACTTTCTAAACTGCACAAAAATATATAATGCTTGTTTAGAAAAGTTTCTAAGAATTGTTTTTTTGGGAAATCTTTAATCATAAGTTATATGTTCTGTTTTTAGAACCATGTGTCAGAGACCCAGGAAGGAATACAATTTTAATTTTTTTCTTATAAAGCTGAGAATGCGCTTTAACGGGAAAAGACAGCATAAAACCACAAGCAACAACAGATTAAAGTGTTCAGCCTCATGCGAGAACAGCATCGTTCCATTTCAAGTGGAAAAAGATCCACACGCACTTTCTTCCCACCACTTCTTTTAGGTTTGTGCTCCCACCTCCTACAAGCCTGTTAATACACGAGGACACCATCGGGAACGTTTCTAATGGTTTAGTCATTTTTCACTAAAGCAGCTGCTTTCCAGTTAATGCAGTGTGATATGCACCAACTCAGATTCTACCTGCCTGCTACTGAACAAGTAAAGGTTAAGTTCACCTACTGTAAACTCAGAAAGAGGAGGCGATGCTGAGAGCCCCCGGGTAAAAGGAGGGGTGCGGCCGCTCTGACCTCTGCCGATGCCGGAACAGCAACCAGCCCAGCACACTCGCCAGGCAAGAGCCCCACCAGCCACCTAGGCCAGGCCCACAGCTGCGGCTGCCGGTCAGCCTGGAGCCGGCTAACACAGAACGGCATGTTGGCTTAATAAAATCTTGTTAAGAAACTATGGGTTAATAGTCATGGTGCCATAGACTCCATACCTTCTAGCAGAAGGCAAAGACAGGACTCATTTCTTTCTTAATGAATCTCATTCTCTAAATCAGAACATTACCTAGAGCTGCCTTGGTTGGTAGGTTAAGACCTTCCACACTTGGTCCTTGCTCTGGTCCTCCTGCAAGTTAAAAATATTGATATTAATGCAGAAAATATACTCACCAAACTTGCTTTTGAATATGTAATATATCTAACTTACTGAGTACTACATCAATTTTGTCAATGATCTGCTTTCTTTTTAGCTCCATATTCCATTATAAGAATTTTTATTAAGCCCTGGCTGGTGTTGCTCAATGGTTGGAGCCTACGAACCAAAGGGTCTCAGGTTTGATTCCCGGTCAAGGGCAGGTCCCTCAGTCAGGGCGAGTGCAGGAGGCACCCAGTTGATGTATCTCTCACATCGATGTTTCTCTCTCTCTCTCTCTCTCTCTCCCTCCCTCTCTCTCTCTCCCTCCCTCCCTCCCTCCCTCCCTCCCTTCTTTCCTCCCTTCTACTCTCTCTGAAAAGCATTGCAAAAAATATTCCCGGGTGAGGATTAAAAAAGTAAAAATAATTTTGATTTAAAAAGAGCATTAAAATAGAAGGGTGTTTTCTGTCAAGTTGCTTTATAGAATCAGATGGTAGTGGTCTCCCTAATTAATGTCATTCAGAATTCTACCTTATGACCTGGTGTTTTAAAGTAAACTGTTCAAGATACCTAGTACATATGTGGACTATCCATCCAACATATGTTAATATTTGGAAATTCTAACACCAATCATATCAATGATAGAAGCCTAAATTTTCAGTTGCCAAGAAATCTGCCATTTTCTAAATGACCTAAAAAATGATCCTGATTAGGAACTCTAAGTCTTTACTTAAAAACTTTTTGTTATTTTAATTTTATTACTTTAAAAATGAGTAAATCAATAGAATGTCATTTGGCCATAAAAAAGGAATATTAGCACATAGAAATACTACAACATGGATGCTCCTTTAAAATACTGTTTAAAATACTGTCCTAAGCACAAGAATCCAGTCACAAAAGACAACATATCATCTGAGTCTACTTGTATGAAATGTCCAGAGGCAGAGAGCAGCCTGGTGGTTGCCAGGGGCTGAGGGAGGGGCAGGAGAGAAGGGGGAGGGGCTGTCAATGGTACGGGTTTCTTCTGGAGGTGATGGGAATGTTCTGGAATGAGTGGTGATGGTGGCACAACCTTGTGAATATACTAACCACCACTGAATTGCAACTGTTTTATCTTTATAAATATTTAAAGGTAAACTCTAGGTAAGGCTTTTAAACAGGCAAAGCAGGATGAGTAAGAACAATGCTACTTTGTAGGAAAAGAGCTGACGCCGTGCATGGGTCACCCACGGGCCGGAACTGCTCTGGGCGGCGGAGAGCAGCGGTAAGAGCGCAGCAGCGGAGCATTCCAGGCTGCCTGTTCTAGTTGTTAAATTCATGTTCTCTCCTTTTCATTGCGCAGTCCTTAAATTTACTCAAGACTGCACCTGGTCACCGGTGCTGACACATGCAGTTCCGGGTTAGGCCTTGAGACAGCGAGTCTCCCTCACCACCAGCTGCTTAAGAAAAGTTCTGGGCGGAGAAGAGGCAGGAAAGAGCTGCTGCAGATGCACTAGGAGCGGGAATTCTAGACAAGAAAACCTTTTAGGAGAAACTCCTCGGTGAACAATGTAAAGGAAAATACGTACAAGGATAAAATCTTGTTCTGCTTTTAGTTACCTGGGTTACCTATTAGTGAAAGGAACTGAGACCCCAGGACTTGAGCGGTACATGGGTCTCCCTGGCGGGACCCTTCAATCTCAGAAGGCCTTCTGTGGGCTGAGTTGTAGCGGTAGCAATGTCCACATGACCATCCGGGTTTCAGAAGGTACAACCCCACCTTTTCTCTGTTAGTCAGACGAGTGTCGGAATTCGTTTTTCTCTTCTCTCTTATGGACAATGACAAAGCAATCCCTGGCTCAGGGGGATTTCTTCTCTTCAAAAAGAATTTCTCCCCGGAGGAGTTCACACGATGGACAGGGAAGCTAAGGGACACATTTGTTCCCGGAACTGCGGCGTGTTGTGCATGAGGAGACAGCACACGTAGCCGTGGTTGTGGCTGGAGTGCTGGGGGGAAGGGGGACCTTCTCCGAGGAGAGGACTTGGAGCTGAGGCTCCAATAAGGAGGTGGCCGCCTGATGACCAGGGTCAGAGTCCCAAACAGAACGCAAACACAGGACAGGCGCGCAGGCCAGCGCGGCGGCAGCGCAGTGCAAGGCGAAGAAACCAGAAAGCTAAATGCCACTCGGGGATGCCATGTCTTCTTTGCAGGCATTCAGGGTCCTGTGTGCGCCAGCGCGCGCGCACACACACACACACACACGCACACACACATGCGCACACACACACATGCACACACACACACTCACACACAATCACAGGCTGCAAATCATACACCACCAGTCGTGTCAGAGTTCTTTGCATATGAAGGAGCCAGGCTTTTGGTCTATATATGACTTGCGAATGTTTATCATGTCTCTGAAGCACTTCTTCAGACCCCAGCAGTCGACTCACTAACCTCTTCCTTTCACGAGGCCTGGACGTGCCCAGGGCTTCCCACTCCAGGGTGGCAGGAAAGCCTCCCCGTTCCTTCTAGCACCCTCATATTTTCAACTTTTAAATATATATATTTTTACTGATTTCAGAGAGGAAGGGAGAGGGAGAGAGGTACAATCAATGATAATAGAGAATCATGGATTGGCTGCCTCCTGCACACCCCACATTGGGGATGGAACCTGCAACCTGGGCATGTGCCTGACTGGAAATTGAACCCTGACCTCCTGGCTCACAGGTCGACACTCAACCACTGAGCCATGCCGGCTGGGCCTCATATTTTCATTTTTATTTTTAAATCTTTGATCCATTTGAATTTAGATTGGTATAAAGAGTAAAAAAGGAATTCTGCTTTATTATTTTTTTCCAAAATGTTAGACATTAGTCCCACATTGATGTTTCTCTCTCTCTCTTCCTCTCTGAAATCAATGAAAAAACATTTAAAAAAAAGAATCAACCAATGAATACATAAATAAGTAGAACAACAGATGACTGTTTTTCTCTCTCTAAAAATCAATCAATAAATTTTTAAAAACAACCTTCATTATTTGCTGGGGGGACTTCCACGTTCCTGGGTGTTACCGACGGTTCTGGGTGTGCGGAGGCCCATCCTGTGCCGCTCACCTGAAGCAAAGTGAGAAAAGTCATAAAAAACAAAGCAAAGCCGGGGAACCTAGTCACTTACATAGTCACCTCTTCGTACCTGGATGAGTGGGAAGGAAGGATAATATTTAAACGTGTGTAATATTAAGTCTCTGTTTCAATGCTCAAATTCCGTATTTTTCCTTTTAAAAAATATTTTTATTGATTTCAGAGAGGAGGGCAGAGGGAGAGAAAGAGAGAGAAACAGCAATGATGAGGGGGAATCACTGATTGGCTGCCTCCTGCACGCCCCCCACTGGGGATTGAGCACGAGCATGTGCCCTGACTGGGAAATGCTCCACCACTGAGCCAATTTCCTCCTTTTTAAAAAATCTAAACTAAGCAATAATTTCAGGTTTGCAGAGAAGTTGCTAAGACAGAATTTTTACTTTTCACCCAGCTTCCTTTAATGTTAAAATACCCATGGCGCATCTGTCAAAACTAAGAGTTAATGGCACATCCCTAGATAAACTCCAGACTGGACTTGGATTTCACCAGTTTTCCTCCAGCGCTTCTTTCTGCCCCAGGATCCGTCCAGGACCCCACCCTGCATGTGTCTCTTCTTCTTCGTCTCCCTGCTCTGTCAGAGTTCCTCAGTCTCTCCTTGTTCTCATGACCTTGAACCTTTGAAGGGTACTGGTCACCTACTGTGAGATGTGTCTCCATCTGGGTTTATCTGATGTTTCTCATGATTAGATTGGAGTTGGGGGAAGAAAGCCATGGAGGTGCGGTGCCCTTGTCACCACCTCACGTCAACATGACTGAACCGGTGATGCCAACCCTGAGCACTTGGTCAGGCGGTGCCTGCCAGTCTTTTCTCGGTAAACCTGTTTCCCTTTCCATCGTCTAGTCTTGGGGAGCTGGTCACTGAGTCTGGCCCACACTCAAGGGGAGGAGGATAAAGCTCCATCTCCTGAGGGGAGTATCTATTATACATGAATTGGAATTTTCCTATAAGGAAGATTGTCCCTTGTCCCATTTATTTATTCAATCATCCATTTATATCAGTGTAATTATCCAAAAAGAGGAGAACAGGACATGGATACTGACTTTATTCTTTGGAGTATAATTTGGTATGTGAATTATTTATTTTGTTCAAATTGTCCCAGCTTTGACCACTGGGAGCTCTTTCAGGTGGTTCCCGAGTCCTTCAGACCCTGCCCCTCATTTTGGGCGCCCTCCCCCAGCACCTCCTTACTCTCCATCCCTACAGGGTGCTCCAGGCTCAGCTGCCCCAGCAGCCCCAGTCCTCCACTCTGCGTTCTCCAAGGCAGCCCTGGCTCCTTTCAGTGAGAAGGATATTTAGAAACCAAGACCTGGGTGCTGGGTGTGCTTGCTGCACTGAAGCCTCACTGTCCCCGTCCCTCTCCGCGGACAGAGCCAGGCAATCCATGTATGTGTCTACGAACCCACTAGTACACACATCTAGAATCAGTTCTCCATTGTGTATGCACGCATATGTATGTAGAGAGTAAAATAAACATGAATTCATACTAACGTCTCCAACTCTAACCCACACCAAACTAGTCATTTCTCTGCTTTTTAGCCCATCATTTCCATTCCAAACATTTCTCAGCACTAATTATGGATATTCTGTATCTAGCTCTAAATTAAATAATAGCAAAGCTCACAATAGAACACATCCTTTTAAAAACTGTTTTCTGTTCTTTTTTATAGTTATTTCTGGAAACTATTGATTGCATTAATGATAACATGTATATGCAAATTATAATAGCAAAAAAATCAAAGTCTAGCAATTTATAAAACTTTGCACATTTTTTATTTGAAAATTAAATAAAGAATGAATTGAGCCCTGGCTGGTTTGGCTCAGTGGATAGAGTGTTGGCCTGCGGACTGAAAGGTCCCGGGTTCGATTCCGGTCAAGGGCACATGCCCAGGTTGCAGGCTCTATCCCCAATAGGAGGCATGCAGGAGGCAGCCGATCAGTGATTCTCGTCATTGATGTTTCTCTCTCTCTCTTCCTTCCTCTCTGAAATCAATAAACACATATATTTAAAGAAAAACAACTGTCTTCATTCTTTGTCAGCCCTGGAGCTCTGAACTGAACTGTGGCGGAACACCAGCCATCACACTCAGCTTCGCTGGCAGCTGGTAAAAGACATGCGACTACACCAGCCAATAGGATCTGGGCAGAGTGATGGCACTGCCACCAGGCTGTGTCTGTAAGAGGACGGGGCACTGGTTTCCTGGGCGTCTGTCCTCTTCCCATTGCTGGGAAAGGCCATGAACCCTGAGGTGAAAGCCACACATGAGAACAACAAAATGCAACCCTCTGTCACCCCGGACAGCTCCTCTGGTGAGAAATTAATTTCTCTCTTGGTTAAGTGACTGTATTTCAGGGTGGTTTGCCACCGCAGCTTGGCCTGTCCCCTAACTGAAATGTTCTAAATACACACCGTCCTAAATGTCAGTGAGCACACGGCAAAATTCTGTAAGCACCACACTTACCTCAGGAAAAGTGTGAGAGGCAAAGAAGTCGTCCTCCTTCGGCGCAGGGGACAAAGGCGGCGTCACGCAGCCATCGAGCCACAGCTGGAACAACATGAGGCACTCGTTAGCACTTCCCCTGGCTTTGCGGGTTCTGCTTAATACTCTTCACTCCCTTCCTAGAGACCTGCTTGCCCAAGATTGGTATTTCCATTATTATAAAACTAGAGGCCCAGTGCACAAATTCATGCACGGGTGGGGTCCCTCGGCCTGGCTGGTGATCTGGCCGACTGGGGCCATCTTGCCCAGTCCCAATTGGGCGGATCGGCCAGTCGGGGGGAGGGACTGTGGGAGGTTGGCTGTGGGAGCGCACTGACCACCAGGGGGCAGCTCCTGAATTGAGCATCTGCCCTCTAGTGGTCAGTGCATGGCTGTTCGGTGGACCGGTTGCTTAGGCTCTTATACAGTGGGGCCTTGACTTACGAGTGTCCTGACTAACAAGTTTTTCGAGATACGAGCCGTCTCTCGGCCGATTTTTTGCTTTGAGTTGCAAGCTAAAATTTGGGTTATGAGCCAGCTTCAGATACCCCACCGCTAGTTGGCGCAGCGAACGTCACAGTGAACGCCACAACATCAGCCCAGCATCACATGTCTCACTTGTTCACTTTTTGATTTGACATACGAGTAATTTGAGTTACGAGCTCCATCATGGAATGAATTAAACTCGTAAGTCAAGGCCCCACTGTATATACATCAGCAACAGGCCTATGTGGGGCCCTTGAGCACATTTCAGTCATGTATTGTTGTAGTGAAATACAGAAATGTTTAAAAATGCTGAAAGAATGTGAGAAAAGTTAAAAATGTTTAACTTCCCTTAAAACTTAAAGTCTGATACCACCTAAGCTGCTACAGGCATGAACAAGCTTTAAATATGGACCCCTGCCAGCCAACGATGCTCATCTTGTCTAGACATTACAAAGGCCTGTCCCTCTGTCCGTCTGACAAGCGACGCCGCTCGACACTCCTCTTCCTGCCAGATGACAGAACGGACGGTGATCCCCAACGGAGATGCCACCGAGCTCTTGGGAGAAGAATGCCGGCCCCCTGCACCCGGACCAGACCAGCCCAGCTGCGGGACCACAGAGGACACCACCACGGGGTCCTTAACTAAGTTTGTACCCGCAGCCGCTCAGGAATTTATATAATAAAAAGCTGTATGTATGCCGTAGCTGGTTTGGCTCAGTGGATAGAGCGTCAGCCTGCGGACTGAAGGGTCCCAGGTTCGATTCCGGCCAAGGGCATGTACCTTGGTTTCGGGCACATCCCCAGTGGGGGGGTGTGCAGGAGGCAGCTGATCGATGTTTCTCTCTCATCGATGTTTCTAGCTCTCTGTCCCTCTCCCTTCCTCTCTGTGGAAAATCAATAAAATATATTTAAAAAAAAAAAGCTGTATGATTTGCAACTGCATATGTTTCAGGTGGTATAACTCCTCCGGCAGTTAATTGAATTAATTTGCGTACGCTGAAAATTTAAATGAAAGCCTCTGGCCTTTGTTGGTCCTAAAGTCTGCCACTCTGGTCCTGCTGATGCAGAGCAGTCTCTCCATCAGCCACTACTTGAATGTCCCAACACCTGCACGGTTAACGTTCATCTCAAGGGACGGCTCAGATAAACACCCAGATCCTTTCCGGATCTACTGGGACACGTATCAACCCAGTAACTTGTTCCCAGACCCCGAGACGTCACAGCCGCGTCTGAAAAGGCGATCAGGACCTCAGACCTACGGCAGGCCTCACAGGACAGCCCAGCCGCCTGTGGGTCCCTGACTTGCAAATCCACACACTGGCCACCATCTGCTGGTCAGCCCCACGTCAGCCCTCGCCTCCTGGCCCTTCACAGACATGCGCAGAGCAGCCAGGCCCGAGCCGCCGCCGTGTTGGTTCCCAGCCGCGTGAACAGCCGCACGCTGCCCTTTCCCAGCTCACACTGCAAACGAGTGTCCTTTCGCGGGTTATTTAGGACCACGTTTCCGCATTTCTGTGCTTTTGTTGGTGACTTGATGGTTTAAAATGGCCCTGCGCCCCGTGATGTGCGACCCAGTGCCCCTGAGCACAGGAGGCTGTGAAGTGCCGCTGGAGGAAACAGTTTTCTCCGGGCGCCGGTTAGAGCCGCCGGCCCGGATCCATGTCGCCAACAGCACACGGTAAAGAGGGCGCCGCTAAAGGAAACACACGGAAAATAAGGTTCCGTATCGGCCGGGAGGAAGCTGGCCGTGGACCTGCCCGGGCGGCACCCGCAGCGCTAATGCGGGGCTCGCACAACAGAGAACCCGCGGGCAGGCTTTACTGTTTGGGTAAAAGCCACCTTTCCTTCTGAAACTGGTTGCACTTACGTCAGTGCCGTGCTTACGTCATGCCGCACTTACGGCAGCACCATACTTATGTCAGTGCCATGCTTGTGTCATGCCACACTTACGTCATGCCGTACTTACGGCGGCACCATGCTTGCATCAGTGCCGTGCTTGCGTCATGCCACACTTACGTCAGTGCCGTGCTTGCGTCATGCCGTACTTACGGCGGCACCATGCTTGCATCAGTGCCGTGCTTGCGTCATGCCACACTTACGTCAGTGCCGTGCTCACATCATGCCACACTTACATCAGTGCCGTGCTTCCGCGCGGCCTGGGAAGCCAGCGACTTGATCTTGTCCCTGTAGAGCTGGGCCGCGCGGCTGTTGTACTTGGCCTTGGTGTCGCCGGTGGCGCACCCGTGCTGGTCGAAGAAGGACGACTGCAGAGGAAAGCAGCGGGTTACTAGCAATCCTGCCGAAACGCTACTGCATATTATGAAGGACTGTTGAAAATACTATGAAAACCAAAACTATGTAAACCACGGAGAATGTTTAAATACTCTTATCTTGTAAAGAGGAATACCTTCCACAGATGTAACATTACTATTTTGGTAAAACTGGACACGAGATGACTTGCAAAATGAAATAACTGGCCCTTCGTTTCTTCATTCAATCCTCCGTCACTCTGAATCTTATTGGGGGGTGGGGGGCGCTATCCACTCAGGACCACTTTTAATTCATGAGAAATCCATTTCAATTCGGATTCCACTAAATCGGAAATTTTAGAAAATTGGTGAGGGGCAACGCTAACCTTCACCTTGTTCAGCACTATTTACTCATTGACAGACAGCACAAGCAAGGTGATAAAATTAAAGAGGAAACTGTTTCCAATCGCCCTGTAAGGGTCCCTGTGTAGACATGAATTACAGAATTCATATCTAATTAAAGCAGGTATTCCAAAAACCTGTATGAGCAATGCTTTTATTACTCCAATGGGCTAATATTAGGCGCCCACATGTCCCAGATCCGTTCTGGGTATTTGGGCCTCATCCCGTTAAATCCTCAGGGCAACACCATGGGGGGCCACTGCTGCCATCTACACTTCGCAGGCGGGGTCACAGGTAAGTGAGAGGCAGGGCTGTCATTCCAACGTGAGCAGGGTGCTCCAACCCCACTGCTTGAGTGGGATGACCTGACCGTCCCCTCCCCATCCCCGCCTTGGCCGCCTCCGCTGGCTGGAGTTGAGAAAGCTGCTCTCCAGGGGTGGGCGGGGGGCTGTGCCACCTTGGGAGGGCTTAGAAATAAGGATAAAATCAAACTCCCAGCATTAAGTTCTGGAACAAGTCTGAACATCATGATAATGGGCATGGGTTTCTAATAAGTTGCTTGAAATATAAGGAAGTGAAATAAATCGTAGTTATTACAGTGGTTTGTGGCTCTCCAATGCTCAAACCGACCCGACAAAATCATATTCCCTGGTATTTAATTTCTCTCACCAGAGAAATATTAAATTCAATTTAAATTTAAAATAATCTAATTTAAATTTAATTAGTCTACTTAAGGAACAATAATGAAAAAAGGTCGAGAAACACTAATCCAGGGAATCTGGTATTTTAAAAACTATTTTAGATTTATAATTTTAAATATTAAATTGATACCAGATAAAACTTTTATTTGAAATGTATACAAATTTGATTTTTTACACTTTGAATGTGTAATGGCATGTCTATGGGAATTCTACTTACTAAACCTATACCATTTGGCATAATAAATAAGGTACCAGCGCTTTGGGTGATTTTGCTGGCTAGACTTATAAGACTGCCAGTTTATTTTATTTATTTATTTGTATTTTTATTGATTTCAGAGAGGAAGGGAGAGAGAGACAGAAACATCAATGATTTGAGAGAATCATTGATCGGCTGCCTCCTGCACGCCCCCCACTGGGGATAGAGCCCACAACCCAGGCATATGCCCTTGACCAGAATCAAACCTAGGACCCTTCAGTCCCCAGGCCGACGCTCTATCCACTGAGCAAAACCGGCTAGAGCAGGCTGCCAGTTTAGAGTTTGAGAAATCAAATATATTGAATTTGTAAATGAAATTTAAAATGAGAATCCTTAGTTAGGTTTGAAAGTAAGGTTAAAAAAGTCTGCTCTTTTACAATTATAAATTAAGTGACCACTTAGCTGGTTATTATTTTTGCATAGAAATTACTAAGTTTATAAATGAATATATGATCTTTATATACTATATTTGAAAATTTGGAGGTTTCATTAAAACTTTGTAGATTTCATAAATTAAATAAAATTCAGATGTAAGTGGCTGTAATCATTCATCCTATTCTAAGCACAAAAGGCACGGCACATATTAAAAAACTGTATTGTCATAACGAAGCCTCCCAATCCCTCTATCCACCTCTTCCTGTTCTAATTTTCTTCCAAAGAACTCTCACCACCTGGCAGGTTGTTTATTTGCTTCTGTATTGACTCTGTGCCTCTAAGCGGGCTCTCATGTGTCTTGTTCACGCTACCCCAGCACCTCGCCCAAAGCTTCGTGTGTATTAGGTGCTTCCGGATAAACAAGTCAACCAGGTGGTCCGACTCCGAAGCCCCTCATGGCTTTCTGTCGTCCAGGAGGCCCCCCGACAGCAGAGCACACGTTTATACAGAAGGAAAACAAGTCTGAGATGAACTTACTGCAGCAGCATTTCCTCCAACTTGCATGCAGCGCAACTGAAACCAAGACCAGTTAGAATCCAACTCTGTAGACCTAAATAGAAAGAACATTCTTAAATGTTAATACTTTTCTTCCCCCAAATCAAGCCACTAAACTTTTGAGAACAAGATTTCCTTGCTCTCCGGCTCCTGAAGAATTCTGCGTTTGTGTTAACGGTGACCCACGCTTCCAGGAGGCCGGGACTCCGAGTGCAGGACCATTGGTACCGCAGCTCCTGGCCCCTCTCATCCTTCCTAGAAGCCAAGGCGCTGATGGCCCCACCCACCTGCTCCCCTCCACACCCGGCCACAGACAGGCCAGGCCGGCAGCACTTTCCGCTGCACAAGCTCCAGCCGGCCACGCCCTCTGGGAACAGAGCATGACAAGCTTGTGGGCTGCTGGACACTCGGACTCTGCCTCACGTCCTTGGTGAGTCATGATCTAAAGGTGGTGAGGGGTCTCTACTCAGCACAGATGTCCTGTTTGGACTTTTTCAGGGGTCCAGTGTGACACCAAGCAGGACCCCTGGAGGATGCTCCTCATTCACCATCAAGGAGAGGACCTGCCCGCCATCACGGCCACGAGGCAGGAAGAACACTCGGGCGTAATGCTCGTGAAGTGACAGCTGCAGTGCCTCCTGCCCCGCCACACCTCTGCCCTGTCCACCTGAACCCTAAGACCACCCCAGAGCCAGGTAAAGGCAACGAGTGCATTTCCCAACAAGAAAACTCCACCAAGTGATGAGTGTAAGCAAGACAGGCTGGCACACAATGCCGGGAGTCTTTATGCTGAATCAATAGATGTGAGCAAGGCAAGGCTCTCCCACATTCCACAGCAGCTCACCCCGCGCTGACGGGAAACAATGTGGACGTGTGGGGACAGTGCCGGTGGAACAGCCTTCACTAAAAGGGCACTCAGCCTTGTGAATGTTAACTATTTTGAAGCCAATAGCTACCTTCAGGTTAATAATGATACTAATACATGTCATTATTACATCTACAAATATCTACTTCACAATGATATAAAAAGTAAATATTAAACCATACTTTGTAAGAAACATATTTCCCAAAGACAAAAATAAACCTCCTTTTGGAACTTAATTACCGAGTAAGGAGATGAGATGACATAGGTTGTTCTGAAATTCTTTTTCTGAGAGATCTTGCTTAGTCACCACACTGTGATGACCTGCCCAGACGGAGTGAGGTGCCATCCCCTCCCCCCGTCACTGGGTGGCTGTTAACAGCACAGTCTCTGGAGACAGGCTGAGAGGGCAGACCCCGCTCTGCCAGGACTGTCTGCATGACCTGGAGGAGTTACCTAGCCTCTCTGAGCCTTACTTTCCTTATCGTCACAATTACAGGTTACTATTCACTCCTGTAGAAATGAAGCGAATATGTGCAAAGTTCTGGGCTCACGGTAAGCACCATGTGGCTAACGTTCTCGCCATCACTATCACCATCGTCATGGCGACCCTGTCACACTGTGGGACAAACACAAGCTCCAGGGGGCACGCATAAAGTAGGTACCGGACTAAATGATGTCCTAAAACGGAAGCTCCAAGTCCTCAGACTTACTAACCTACCTAAAACTTTTAGTTCTAAAGTATCTTTTAAAAAACAAAGCCAAACATTTTTATATATTTCTTAGAAATAAAGATAAAAACCTAATTGTTCTTGAATCGAGCTGACAGGGATTCTCTCTCACACACTGGAATTTGAAACAAAAGGTGGTGATGACAATGAGTCAACCTTAAGAAGAAACTTGAACTGCTCGGCGGTGCCCGTTCCTACGAGGAGGTGACTCGCTGGAGGTTGCTTCCTGTCTTTAGTTTAGATGAAGAGATGGTGAAAGGTAAGAGAACCTGAGTGCTGAGAAAAAAGTAAGCAGCGAAGGAAGAAAAGTTGAAGAACTAGTGTCACTTTACCCAATAGCTCCTGCTAACCAACCACTGTAAAGGAGAAAACAGGTTTCCCTCAACCCCATAATCCTTCTGAGTGAAGATAAAACATTTCCCCAATACGCTAGTGTCTGTAATTGTTTTTTTTTTTTTGTAATTGTTTTAATCAGTAAAAAAAAATGGTCAAAGAACAGCCTTCCACCTCTTTCAAAACAAAAAGCCACTGAGCACCCTTGTCATCCTTGACTTTGCCCAAATCCTAGACTGTGCCCTCTGAACAGGAGTTTTTAGCAGTTGTTTGAATCATTTATGAGCACCGTGACTCACACCGTTATATTTATCTGCAAATAGTTATATTTATCTGGCTGTTAGAAGGCTAGTGACTCAACCTGCAAGAGCCCAGAGAGACGCTGCTGTGCCGCCTGCAAGGCTCCAGTCGGTCCTCCCTCCACCGAGGGCCAGAAAACCACTCATTTCCTGGAATGGTGGGGAGGAAAGGGGAGGCCAGGTCAGAAGGGCAGGGCTTGGCAGCGAAGAAGAGGAAAAGAGGCCGGACCGGTTTGGCTCAGTGGATAGAGTGTCGGCCTGCGGACTGAAGGGTCCTGGGTTGATTCCAGTCAAGGGCATGTACCTGGTTGCGGGCACATCCCCAGTAGCAGGTGTGCAGGAGGCAGCTGATCGATGTTTCTCTCTCATCAATGTTTCCAACTCTCTATCCCTCTCCTTTCCTCTCTGTAAAAAATCAATAAAATATATTTAAAATGTTGGTCCTGTTCCAACATTAAAAAGAAAAAAAGAAGAGGAAAAGAACAGAGCAGAGAGAGAGAAAGACAAGCAGCTCCGCACCGCCTCGAGGCCAGCCTTCCTGGCTCTGGGCAGAGCAGGTCCCATGTTAACTGGTAACAACGGATCCGGGGTGCGAGGGAAGCACATTAAAAATAAAATCGTGGGGGCTGGTGGGGAGAGATGACGCAGGGAATTTATATGCATAGATGCAGAGCCCATGGACACAGACAGTAGTGTGGTGAAGGCCTGGGAGGGGCGGGTGCTGGGTGGAGGGGGTCAATGGGAAAAAAGGGGAATATCTGTAATACTTTCAACAATAAAGACAAATTTAAAAAAAGACACGAACAACAAAACCATCATAAAAACAAGCTAAACTTGCCCTCGCAACTAAATCCCTCAATATTTAAAGAGACAAGGACAGGATGTGAATTCAAAATATTCTGACACCAGCTAAGAAAAAAGAAGACAAGAAACTGGTAGACACTCTAAAACCAATAAGAACACACAGAAGAACCCCCTTTTCAAGATAATTACTGTGGAGTTACATGGCTATAAATATTTAGCACATCAGGCCTTTGTAAATTGCTTTCTGAAAAGAGAACTCAGGAAAATGCATCAGGAAAGTTTTTTAAAAAGAAAATTATGTTGCTATTATTACTATTTAGTTTTTGTGCTAACATACAAAAATCTCCTTCTGAGTTATAAGACTTTATCCTTTAGTAATAAATGCTCTTTATAGTAGGTCAACATCAGATAAAATCGCTGTCAGAATCCCAAATAGCCTGCCTCCTAGCTGGTTGCTCCCCTGGGAAAAGAAGTGGCAGGGAAGCAGGTGACGTGGTGGGAGGCGGCCAGTAACCACAGCGATGCCCAGAGGGTGCCTGGCCAAGGCCCAGGGCTGCTGAAGCGCAGGCCTCCTCGGCTTCTGAGCCCTGAGTTCTACTGGAATCTTTTTATTATTTCTTTTTAAAAAAATATGTGTGTTTATTGATTTCAGAGAGGAAAGGAGAGAGAGAGAAAAAAAAACACACATCAATGATGAGAGAGAATCATTGATGGGCTGCCTCCTGCACGCCCCCTACTGGGGATCAAGCCCACAACCCAGGTATGTGCCCTTGACCGGAATCGAACCTGGGACCCTTCAGTCTGCAGGCCAATGTTCTATCCACTGAGCCAAACCAGCTAGGGCTATTTTTATTATTTCTTTTATTATTCTATTTCTTCTAACTCACACCAGACTAGCAGTCTAGTGGGGAAGCCCATTAATTACCAGGTTGGATCTCAGCAAGCAAGGACAGGATGCAAAAAGTTCCCTAGACAGGGGCCAGAGGCATTGGCGATCTCAAGAAGAGTCTAGAAGGGCAGTAAGTGGCAAAATCCTGCGCAGGAAATGGCCCCGTGGACGGAGGTGACGGCAGAGATGAGGTGTGCACAGCCCAGCGCAGGCAAGTCTGAGAGCACCCCCAGGTGGTCGGAGGCTGGCTCCGGGGGAGAGCACGGGTTTCTAACTGCTGCTGTCAGAAGATCATAAGGGAAAGGAGATACCGTCTCAACCCCTCCATCCCGATGGTCCATGCCACGGCCTCATGCCTCCGACACAGAGCTCCATGTAGCAGAAACTAAACAGAAACCAGCTCACTTGCCCAGTTTACTTAGTTATATCACTTAAGTCTCCATAACTCATAACCAACCTCTCATTTTACTTGATGTCAAAGGAAACATAACGGAAAAAGGGGAAAGAGCTCCATGTGACGCTGCACCCTCCCAGCCCCAAAGGGGACAGACTCACTTACCGAATGAAACTCAAGTGGACGCCAAGTGACCGGTGTGACCCCGAGCAGTCGATGCAAAGAAACACCCCATAGGTTATGCTTGCCCAGCTGGGGTTTTTGGCGCCACAATCAAAACACACCTGAGAGAAAATATGAAAAGTCGACTATTAATTACTTTATATTGGTCAAGCAAGCTCTCCCACAGGGCACAATATATGAGTTAGCTGGAAAACTGCTTAACTTTTACAATTTAAACTGGGTAATAGAAACTATCTCACCTAGATTTTTAAAACCTGAAATTTCACCCTGGCCAGGTAGCTAAGGTGGTTAGAACCCAATATGCCCAGGTTGTGGGGTCACCCTCCAGTCAGGGCACATACAAGAATCAGCCAATGAACGCATAACCACGTGGAACAAGTCGATCTCTCTCGCTCTCTCACTCCCTAAGGTTAATAAAATAAAAACCTCAAATTTCTATTTCTTTCATTATTATTTTAATTATGTTAATAGAATTATATTACTACAACACATGAATTATATAGTATATATTATTCTGAGTCTATTATAATACTCTGCAGTACGGGGAGTGAGAGAACTCAGGTGTGTATCATCTCAAACATCACCTGTCCGTGAAGCATTCACAGGTCCTACCGAGCACGTAAATGAACACTAGCACGGAGGCCCCTGCGGGAAACACTCAGGCCGCGCTGCCCGGGACAGTGGCCTCTACCGGATGGCAGGTGCTGTGCACACGTCTCTCCTCAGCCGGAGGAGGAGGGCGTGGGGGCCGGACTCCAAGGTGCCCCAGTGAGGCCCCTGCTGGTGTTCACTCCCTGGGGAAGCTCACCCTCACTTGCCCAGGGTGGTCTGTGCGAGGTTATAAAAGACGCCATGACTTCCCTTCTCTCTCTCGGATCACTGGCTCTGGGGGAAGCCAGCTGCTGCGTCTTAAGGACCCTCGGGCAGCCCAGTGGAGAGGCTCAACTGGGGAGGAACTGAGGCCCTGAGTCCCACAGCCAGTGCAGAGTGGGCCGGCGGAGCACTACGTGACGCGCTTGGGGGTGAAAACCCCAGCTTTCGGGTGACCGCGGCCGCAGGAGACCCCAGCCTTCCTTCCTCAACACTGACTGACGCCAAACATTCATCTGATAACAGAAGGGTAAAAGTATTTTAAAACATGCAGTGTTTGTCATGGAAATTAACACAATTAAAGTCAGAATTACAGGACAGTAACATTCCACAAATAGAATTGTTTTAAATTTTTTTCCCCAGAAAAAAAGCACCCACACTTTAGATACACTTTATAGGCAGAGCCACCTATGTGAAGAAGATTGTCCCAACTATCCTATCCTATATAATAAAAGCATAATATGCAAATTGACGAACAGGGAAAGAATGATTGCTATGACACGCACTGACCACCAGGAGGCAGACGCTCAACGTAGGAGCTGCCCCCTGGTGGTCAGTGCACTCCCACAGGGGGTGTGCCGCTCAGCCAGAAGCCGGGCTCACAGCTGGTGAGCGCAGCCGAGGTGGTGGGTGCCTCTCCCACCACCTCTGCTACAGGCAGGTGGTAAGGAGCGAGGGGTCCCGGACTGCGAGAGCCCTGGACTGCGCGAGAGGGGTCCTGAACTGCGAGAGAGCACAGGCCAGGCTGAGGGACCCCCACCCCCCAGTGCACGAATGTTGTGCATCAGGTCTCTTGTAATCATAAAAAAGATCTGGCATCTGGCCTTGTGAGGGCAATACAAGAACAAAAACATGAGTGGGTTTTCCAAAGGCCCTCAGGGCAGACTCCCATTCAGCATGCATGAATTGTGGGGAGGGGGAGGGGAAGGGGATGGGAAGGATGCAATTGACATGAAAGGTACCAGGCACTCACTTCAATGGTACTGGTACCAGACACGGGGCAGGCACTGGGGTATTAAGTAGATGGCATCACTGATTCCACAGACACTTGCTGAGCTCCTACTCACTGCCAGGCACGTGCTGGCCTTCGGGAGAGAAGGGCATGGAAATTCAGACACCTGTGGTAAAAGCTTTTAGAGTAAGGCATCCCTTTCCATGGGACTCGTCGTGCCAAAGGTGCTGTCCCTCTACGAGAGGCCATTTGTATCCCTCACTCAATCAACGGACAGTTGTGCGTGTACCTGGCGCACACAAAGTGGGCGTGTCCGGAGCCCACGGACTAGCAGTCTCGTGGGCAGCCAATTAGTTACCAGGTTGGATCTCAGCAAGCAAGGACAGGATGCAAAATGTTCCCTAGACAGGGGCCAGAGGCTGGCTCCAGGGAGAACACGGGTTTCTAACTAGGTGACTTCAGCGTCCTCCTGCCCCCGCCCCCCCACCTGAGACGAGGGGTTGCTAGAACGCAGCTCCATGAGGGGGGCCCAGTCTGTCTTATCAGCTGAGCTGAGCACCGGCCTGGCACAAAGTGGCCTAAACGCAAATACAGGTATTGGGGCAGTTTGGAGGGTGGAAGGCAAGGCGTCGGGAGGTAGTTGGAAATACAAGTCCGGTTCTCACAGCGCCGCCTTGGTGCCCGCTGGAGCCCGGGCTGTGCTTTGAGAACAGGGGTTGTGCTGGGTTTTGATATGCGGTCAGAGCCGAGACCTGCTTTTCCAAGCAGAAGATCAGCTGTTACGGTTTACTCCTGCCAGGCACTGCCGTTGGCCAACTGAGCTTCACGACAACCGATGGGAAGGTGCTGCTGTGACCCCTCGGGCCCTTCCAGGGCGGGTGTCATCGGCGCAGTCCCACAGGCCCCGCACTCAGCCGGCTGTGGGTGGTCAGGGCTCTGCTGTCTCATCTCAAAAGTCTTAATACTTTCTCATTCCGCGTTCCCCAGAATTAGGTAGCGCGGCTTTGATCCCCATTTTAGAGAAAATGAAGGAATGATGAAGTATCACAGCTAAGAAAAGCCACCTCGGGGCCTGGGCCCCGGCGGTCTGCACGGACCATCCGCCCCCTGAAGGCAGGAGCCGCTTTTGTTAGAGAACACCAGTGCACCTCACTGCTCGGCCCGTGCCCAGCACACGCAGGTGCTCAGTGGGTATTTGTTGAATGAGTCACTCAAACAATCAATGAAAAAACAAGGAACAGCGAAGCTTCAGGAAGGAGTTCACAAACTAGGAAACTGACCCTTGAGTTACAACCTGGGGTCCACACACGAGGGGAAGAAACTGGATACCACATGCTGAAAGTAAACCGAGTTGTTTTTCTGTCTCGTGTATCTCAGAGCTGCTCTTTAGAACCCGTTTTGAAAACGCTTATTGTCACCCAACTCGTCCACTAGTTAAAACTAGTTTTCATCTTTGTTTAGGAAACTGTTTCTTACTAACGATCAGATAAAAAGTCTTCATCAAGAAGTGTAGCACGGCGCTGTGGAACATTGCCAGGAAGTATTTTTGCTCAGCGCTTTTATTAGTCCTACTACAGACTAGGAAGTGTCCCCTAGGTGTGTTGTTCATAATAAAAATAACGAAAACAGCTGGCACGTGTTGAAGACTAGTGATTGCAGGTACTGCTCCAATGGCTTTTCTGGGATGTTCTCGCTTAATCCTCACAATAACCCCTGTGTTAGATCATGTCCGGTTTCAGATAAGGAAAATAAAGCACAAATAAGTGATCGAGTAGCCTGCCCGAGGCGACAGTTAGAAAGCGGCAGGTCTGCACAACCACGCACAGGTGTGCCCAGGCGTGTCCCTCCACGTGCCTCCTGGTAGAAAGGCACTGACGTCTAATTTAAAAGGACACCTTCCCTTGGATGAATTCCATCAAAGAGAATCCATGTTCCGTTTCTGAGGTACAGCAGACCGAAACCCACGGCTTCCACCATGCCGACTGCAGATCCCAATGCTGTCTAGATGTGCAGGGCCCCACTCCTGATTAACAGGTGACTCCAACTGGAACATCCAGGGGAACAGCCGAGAAGCTGGCACTGGAGGCCTCCTCCTCCTGACTTCCCTTCCTCAGACCTCGCTTTAATAAATCGTTTCCTTTCTTGCTCCTGGAAAGGCTGTAACATTATGAGCTCCCCTCCACCATCGAGACGTAAAACGAAGACATCTAACTACTGTAAAACTCAGGAACTCCCTATGCCATCAGGTCGTGGCTCATGGCCATGCTCCTTAACAGCTGTTTACGTGGGAGGTGACCGTGGGGCCGGGCAGGACCGTCACAGGAGGAGAGGAGAGAGTCCACGCTGACGGGACAGCCCTTTGCACTCTCCAGGTGCCACTCGGACCTGTGGGCCGGACCTGTGATCCCCGAAGAGGGAGTCACCTCGGCCCAATGCGTCATCACACCTCCGGCGGGTCTCCAAAAGTTGTAAGGGGCCCGGGGCCGGGAGGGGGCAGCCTCGGGAGGTGGGAAAGGGAAGACCCCTCTCCAGGGAGACGCAAAGGAAAGGGAGGGCAGCGTCTGTGCTGCGCTTTCTTAGAAAGAGGAGCGAGCTGGGAGCCATGCACAGACCTGGGCAGCTCCATCGGACCGGAGCGCGGCAGCTGCCGTCCGGGACCCAGGGAGGCAGAGGGGCTCCCCACAGGCGCCCCCAGGAACCCTGAAGGGTCCCGTTCGAGGGTGGGGAGGGGGCGAGAGAGCTCCCTTCAACGCCAAGGGCTACCAGCGGGGGTTCGGACCCAGCGCACGCGTCCCAGCCGCGTCCCAGGTGGCCGGCGGGCCCGCCCCACTCCCAGGAACGCGGGGTACCCTCCCGGCCCGCTCCGGGACCCCCAAGCTCGTCCCGGCTCTCGGGAACTCAGTGTCCACTCGGCCGCCCGCGTCCCCGTGCAGGCTCCTCCGCCCGGTGTCAGGAACCCATGTGTCTGCCCCCGGCCCCTAGGACTCCCCGCCCCCAGGACCCCCGGCGGCCCGCCCCGCCCGCGGCCTCGGTGCCCCTTCCCCGCTCCTCCCTCGCCGAGGCTGGGGGGCGGCGCGCGGTTCGGGGACCCAGGAGAGGCCCAGCTGCCACGGCCGCAAGTGCGACGTGTCACAGGCCGGGCCGGCTCCTCCTCCCGTGGCCGCGGACACTGGCGTCGCAGGAGCCGCCCGCGGGGTCGGGCAGGGATGCCGAGCCGGCCGAACGCGCCCGGCGGCCGTTACCTTGTTGGTGGGCACCGAGCGGAGGCGCTTGAGGATGGCCAGGATGTCCTGCTTGCTGGGGTCCCCCATCGTCGCCAGGAAACCGAGGCGCGGCTGCCCCAGCCGAACGGGAAGGGCTGATCTGGAGCGGTTGCCGCCTCCCGGAGCCTGACATAGGCCCAGGGGGTGGGGCTGCGCGTGACGGCCCCGCCCCCGGCCCCGCCCCCAACCGGGGCGCACGCGCCGCTGTCCTCTAGGGCTCCGCTTAGCTGTATCGCAGGCCCCGCCCCCAACGAAGCGCACGCGCCGAGGTCCTCTAGGGCCCGGCTTAGCTGTACCGCTGGCCCCGCCCACCCAGGCTCCGGCCCCGCCCCCGCCCCCCCCGACGCTGCATGCGCATGCGCAGGAGGCTCGCGCGCCTTTTCCAGGTCCTCTTTCGTCATCCGCGCCGGGCAGTGGGGCGGTGACCCTAGGCCTGGGTGTGGGTGGGGTTCGCTCCCCGGCGCACGGCCTTCGGAGCCCCGCCATTCCGGCGGGTGAGTTGCCTTTTCAGGAACGGGCTGCTGCTTTCTGGGCCAAGATCCTCTCACCTCGTCCCGTGAGAGCGGCAGAGCCGGTCACTCCAGGTGGCAAAGGCGGAAACTTGAGGGGGTGGGGCCTACCCGCCGTTTCCGCCGCCCGGGAGAGGGGACTCGAGTCCGGTCGCCCGGTTTTCGTTAGTCCCCTAACTTTCTGCGCTGGGTGGGAGCTTTCTACACGGAAATTGACTTTCTTAAGGTGTCAGTTTGGGTCTCGGGTCAGGGAGAGAGAACAGCTCTCACGAGGCAGCATGTGCTCCGTCAGACGGGTGAGAACAGGCGAGAAGCGTGCCCCCTCCCGGCTGCATCCTCCCGCTTGGCCCACATCGCCAGCTGGGAAGGTTTGAACGCGGACAACATCGCCTCTTCTGCACCAGGAAGTGTTGCCTGCGGTTGGCTGGCGCGGAAAGAGGAGAGGTTTTGGAGTCAAATGCAACACGTTGGCGCCGAGTGCATGCAGCCGCCTCCCTCCGAGCCCCAGGTCCTGCCGGAAGCCGGTCCATCCTTGCTGCTTGACACAGTCGCTGCAGGGAAGAAACATCTGCACAGCATATGTTTCAAGGGACCTGGCGTATATGGCATACTGTTCTTAATATGTTTGCTCCCCTTCTTGGTGCTATGTGTTTTAACCAAGGTCACCTCTCCAAGAAAGGTTGTTTCCCCAGGTAGGGATTTTTCCCTGAAGTTAGGGAGGGAAGAAAACCCTACGAACAATCACCCTTAAGCTACATAATCTTTACTCCCTGGAATGGAGATAAGAAACACCCTAACCTTTGGAATAGAAATTGACAGAATTAAAATCAACTGGTATAAATACAGATGTAACAAGACAATAAAAGACAGAACTTGGCTGGAGATCCTGGCTAGGCTGCTGATCAACTGAATGCTGTCTCTGTGTCATTCCTTCTTCATCAACTCTGTCCACACCTTTGGGGACCCCTGGATCTGCTGGGGTTAAACTCCAACATCTGGCTTGACACAGTCGCTGCAGGGAAGAAACATCTGCACAGCATATGTTTCAAGGGACCTGGCGTATATGGCATACTGTTCTTAATATGTTTGCTCACCTTCTTGGCGCTATGTGTTTTAACCAAGGTCACCTCTCCAAGAAAGGTTGTTTCCCCAGGTAGGGATTTTTCCCTGAAGTTAGGGAGGGAAGAAAACCCCTTAACTAAGTGCCAGGCGGGTAGTTAATCACTTTAACTACGAACAATCACCCTTAAGCTACATAATCTTTACTCCCTGGAATGGAGATAAGAAACGCCCTAACCTTTGGAATAGAAATTTTTTTTAAAATATATTTTATTGATTTTTTTACAGAGAGGAAGGGAGAAGGATAGAGAGTCAGAAACATCGATGAGAGAGAAACATCGATCAGCCACCTCCTGCACATCTCCCACTGGGGATGTGCCTGCAACCCATGTACATGCCCTTGACCAGAATCGAACCTGGGACCTTTCAGTCCGCAGGCCGACGCTCTATCCACTGAGCCAAACCGGTTTCGGGCTGGAATAGAAATTGATAGGATTAAAATCAACTGGTATAAATACAGATGTAACAAGACAATAAAATACAGAACCTGGCTATGATGATCACCTGAATGCTTCCTCCGTGTCATTCCTTCTTCGCCGACTCCGTCCACACTTTGGGGAACCCCTGGACCTGTTGGGGCTGGACCCCAACAGCCAGCATGTCGTATGCACTCAGTGAAGATTTTTGGTGTGGGCTTAGAATGTATAAATACAAAGGTCCTCAATCACTGCCAACATCATAAGGAGAAAAGGCTGGTGGTCTATAAAATCATACCTTCTCTTGAGCCCCTCGGAGAGCTGAGGTTGCAAAGCAACCACGCAAACAATTCCAAGAGAGACGGGACTCTCCAAAAAGAGATGGAACGTAGAACCCCCTCACCTTTGGCAGAGCACAGAGAAAGAAGTGGCTGCCATTCAAGTGGGCACAAGGAAATCACCTAAAATTTTAACCAATTCTTAAAGGCCAGATGTGAGCTAGCATGTCAGTTTGGCGTAGTTGGGGGCCTCAGATACAAAGGGACTTGCATTCACTCACAAGCTCTTTTCCATAAACCTCCACCGGAATTCTTTCTTCACAAGAAAAATGGAGACAGAAAGAGTGGAGAAAACGCCCTTGTGGGCAGGCATGCACCTGTTGGGGGACAGGCGCAAACCCCCACCCACTTTCATTCTCTCCTGGAAAGCAAAAGCGGCAAACTCTCCCTCCCTCAGGTACCGGCAAAGACCCATTTCTGCCAGGAAAGGAAGAGAGACAAACTCCAGTAATACCAAATCCACAGGAGGAGAGGAATCCTCTAACTTTAAAGAGTGTAAACAAAGTGTCATGGCCGAAACCGGTTTGGCTCAGTGGATAGAGCATCGGCTTGCGGACTGAAAGGTCCCAGGTTCGATTCCGGTCAAGGGCATGTACCTGGGTTGCGGGCACATCCCCAGTGGGAGATGTGCAGGAGGTGGCTGATCGATGTTTCTCTCTCATCGATGTTTCTAAGAAAGGAAGAGAGACAAACTCCAGTAATACCAAATCCACAGGAGGAGAGGAATCCTCTAACTTTAAAAGGGGTTAACAAAGTGTCATGGCTGCCGGGGGGAGGACAGAAGTGAAATCCCTCTATTGCTGGGGGTGCGGGGAACATCAGGAAACACTTTGGGCTCAGATTCTAATCCATACCCAACAGAGGTTTGCTACCACTGGAAGAGAGAGGAAAGTCCCAGCCAAGGTCAATCACAGACACCACGCAGAGGTTTGCTGTCACCAGGAGGCGGGCAGGCATGTTGAGAAAGCCCCACCTCAAGCCCCAGACCCACAAGACCTGAGACTGAGGCCGGACCAGGTCCACAGAGAACCTCCACCCACACGTCCACGAGCCTGGCACTAGGTAAGAAGCAGCAGCAGTCGGCCACAGGAGGCGGGACAAGCACGGCAGTAGACAACTCTGGTCCCCAGCCCACACGCTAAGCACAAGGTTCCCCCAGCCACCGCTACAGGAGCTCTAACCCTCAGGTGCAGTGGAGATAGAGAGAACAATGACAAAACCAGACTTGCCTGCTACCTGTATGATCAATCCCTACACTAGTGAGCTGACAGAAGCGTGCCCATTTTCCAGGGTGACTACTGCTAACTTCAGTCTCTAGTCCTCTCTGTTGGGGGGACGATGGGGCAGTTGTGTGTCTTGACTGTGGTAGTGGTTACACAACCGTCTGCATGAAAACTTGTAGAACGGTACATGCAATGGAGTGCCCTTTGCTGTGTGTAAATTATACCTGCAAAAACGAGAAAAGAAGTGGGAGAGAGCCAATGGGCAGCGTCTTCAGGGTCAGGAGAAAATGCTTGTGAGTAAATGTGAAGAGGAGAAGCAGGATACCAAACTGCAGTAACAACATGACCCCAACTTTGTAAAACACAGACACATTGATGACGACAAAATGCGTGCCCATGGGTGTGAACAGAAAAAAGACAAGAAAAACGAGTCCCCCAGAATGTCAGCAATGTCACCTCTGGAAGGCAGCACCATGGGTGACTTTAAAGTTTTTCTGAATACTTTTCTTAGTTTCTAAATATTCATCTGAATTTTTGTTCCTTTTACAATTGAGGGGCCTGGCTATCTTGACTCCGAAGTGGCCAATGAGCCGCCCACAGTTTGCTTGCAGCCCTTGTCGCTTTGGTGACCGAATGCCCTTGGGCTCAGGGCTTTTTACCTTCATGTCTCTTGACTGGGCACTCAGGTTTCTGGGACTGTGGTCGCGGCATCAGCTGCCAAACTGTATCCTTCGCTCATCGGAGTGTTAGCCCATTGGCAGCTGGTGTTAGTTATCCTTTGCTCAAAAAGAGCGATGCTCTCCCTGTAGTTCCTGTGTCATCTGCTCCTTCCGCTCTCCATTTCCCAGTCCTTTCCACGAAGGATTTGAAGAAGCTTAAACCAATATGCCATCAATATATGATGGTTTGACTTAAAATTTTTCAACTTTCTGACTTCATGATGGTGTGAAAGTGACAGGTACTAGTAGAAACCGGCTGGGCTAAGCTGTAATGTTCAGTAGATTAGGTGTATGAAATGCATCTTCTTTTTTTAACTTCTATGAGAAGTTAAATTTCTATTACATTCTGCCCTGACTGGTTTGGCTCAGTGGATAGAGCATCGGCCTGCAGACTGAAAGGTCCCAGGTTCGATTCCAGTCAAGGGCATGTACCTTGGTTGTGGGCACATCCCCAGTGGGAGGTGTGCAGGAGGCAGCTGATCGATGTTTCTAACTCTCTATTCCTCTCCCTTCCTCTCTGTAAAAAATCAATAAAATATATTAAAAAAAATTTCTATTACATTCAATGTATTAGTTTCAGGTGTACAGCATAATGGTTAGACAATCATATAATTTACAATAAATGCATCGTTGACTTAGGACATTTTCAACTTGCGATGGGTTTATCAGGACGGAATCCCATCCTAAGTCAAGGAGCATATGTAATCTGAGTTTCATTGATTGGTCCGAAATTGATTTCATTTTTTCCTTTTAGTTTGGGCTGGAGAGACAAGGTTGCTAGTCAGTGGGGGAGACAGACATACCAGCAGCTGCGAGGGAGCAGGGAGAGCGCTGTGATGAGGTGCCCAGGGCATGGAGGAGGGCTCAGGTCAGGCAGCTCCAGTCCTGGTAGGCATCATTTAAAGAGCACCACTGGGAGCAGGCACCTCCTTGTCCTCTGAGGCCTGTGCCCTCATCGTCCAACAGCGCAGCCTAGTGGGCAGGCCCTGCCTCTGAATCTAGATCAGCTGTGTGGTAGCTGTCACACCTACACCTTCAGCAAGTTACCCAACTTCTCTGTGCCTCAGCTTCCTCGTCTATGAAAATAGGAATAATAGCCCTGACCTGTATGTTCAGTGGTTAGAGCATCAACCCAAGCACAGAAGGGTCAAGGGTTTGATTCCTGGTCAAGGGAATGTACCTGGGTTGCAGGTTCCATCCTCAGCCCTGATCAGAGTGCCTGTGGGAGGCAACCAATTGATGTGTCTCTCACATTGATGTTTCTCTCTCTCTCTCCCCCCCCTCCTCCCTCCCTCCCACTTTCTCCAAAAATTAAATAAATGGGGAAAAAGTATACTTGGATGAGGATTAATAACAAAAATAGGAGTAATAATATTTACCTAGTTCATGGGACTGCTTTGAGGATTGAACAAGTTAATAAATGTTAGAGTTTAGAACAGGGCCTGTCACCAAGTTAAATACAAATGCTTACTACTATTATTCCCATTTTATAGATGAGCAAACCAAGTAAGTACGCTCAAGGTCACACAGTTGGAACCAAGTGTAAGTGAAGGAAATATGACCTCACAGTCCATGCTCTTAATTATTGACTTCATTTTTATGCCTTTGTAAAACTGTCATTAACTTTCAGCGAAGAAACAAAATGTTTTGTCAGATTTTGGTGTGGAAAATCCAGCCTTCTTACATACAGTTTCATACGTGGCTGAGTCTATGGCTAGGAGGCAGCATTCATGCTGTTCCTGGTTGGGGAAGATGTGGCGTCTCACCTGGGGTCTGCACTTTGGTTATCATCAGCTCAAGTTGGGATGGTGTTGGGGTTGAGGCGACCTTCATAACAAGCACTTTTATACCCTTGACCTCATGTGGTCATGAACAAGGGAAGACAGGAATCACTTTCCAGATGAGGAAACTGAAGGTCAGGGAGAGGAAGGGACTTGCCTGAGTACAGGCACCTTATCAGTAACACAAGGCCCCCTCTGGCCCTGGTGGGACACCTCTCTGTAGCTGCCACCAACTCTCCCTGGTCATCTGAACAAATCCAGGAGCACATAGATGGCTGGCATTTGGGCACCTCGGACTTGCTATTTGGATCAGTGGTTCTCAAAGTGTGGTCCTGGGACTTGTTAGATTTGCAACCTAGTGACTCAGAAACGCTGGGATGGGCCTAGCAAGCGGGGCTGTAACAGGCCCTCCGGGGGTTTGAGAACCAGTGGTTTAGACAACGGCACCTGAGGTTTGCAGCTGGGCACCAGACTTCAAACCCCCACCTGCCGGGTCTGATGCAGGTGGCTCAATCCCTCTGGTTTGTTTCCTGGTAATGCCTGGAGGGCAAGCAAGGGTGGTGTAGACACAGCCTGATCCAGTGGGGAGAAGGGGTAGTTTGGCCCAGGCTGTGGCTGTAGGGAGGGAAAGGACTGAGTGGGGAAGAGGACTTGGTGGCCAAGGATGCCAGAGTCCTGGCTGGGGAAGGAGAGAGTGGGGTGTCACTCACTCATAACCACACTAAGCTACCACCTCCTGAGTTCCTGTGGCCTTTCCCTCCTTACTCGGACCCTCCAACTGGGAAGGCAGGCACCACTCTTTCCTGGGGAAACTGAGGCCCAGAGGGGGGAGTTAAGGGCCAGGACAGGAGTGGGCAGGTGGGCAGTGAGGGCCCTTCAGGATTCCTTGCGGGGGCTCTGGAAATGACAGGAGGCTGAGAAAAGGGCCTCGCTGAGCAGAGGTGGTTTCGTCCGACTTTTGAGGGTTCCTCTGCTCGCCCCCTTGCTCTTTATCAGTCAATGGAGGGACCCGGGAAGGGCTGCCCTTAAGAATCGTGCAGATGCGGGTTTGAATTAGTTCCGTCAGGGGACTGTGGGCAATTCACTGGAGTTCCCGGACCTTGTGTCCTCTTCTGCAAAATGGGGTGACTCCCACCTCCCCGCGGGCTGGCGTACAATGCATGAGCTCGCCAGGTGCCCCGGAGCCTGCTCTGGGCCCTCCCTGCACCCTGTCCTACGTCTCCCCGTGGCAGCGGGCGGTTCCAGGGGGCCCCAACTCCTCAGAAGTGGAGAGCAGGAGCCCATCACCCATCAGACCAGGCGGCCAGGTGACAGACTCATCATGAGCCGGGCACTGACACTGCACTGGCAGCTGCTCCCTCACTCCTGGCTCCCCGAGAGCCCGGTGCCCAGGTGGGTGCTTTTCGGGCGGCTTCACCGGGTTTGCTGATGGTGGCCGCAGCAGCCGTCTGTCTCATCTTTCTCACCTCACTCGGGCATTTTTCCTCACTTCGCCCACGTGAGCATGGAGGGCTCCGAGGGGATGTGACTCGGGGTACGGGCCGCTGGGCCTCCTCAGGTGAGTTGCCCTTGGAGCCTGTTCCTTGCGGTGTTAAAGGGAAACGGGGAGACTCACCCACTCCCAGGGGTTGGGAGATGGGCACGCTCTGTGCAGGTGGTGTAAGAGCAGACAGGGCCCAGCGTGCAGCAGGTGCTCAGGAAATGGGCTCAGGGAAGCCCCCACACTGGGGAAGCCCAGGCCACACAGCAGCAGGTTTTGGGGAAAGAGAAACCCCGAGGGGCTCAGGTGCCTCAAATTCCACCACCTCTGATGCAGCAGGGGCAGTGGGACGGGGACACGGCCCTTGGGCAGCAGCCTGCCTGGGATCTCACCCGGCCCCAAAGCTGGTAAGTGCGACAGACACGCCCACGTGCTGATGTGAGCATGAGGTACACGCATGGCACAGAGACCATCACACTCACAAGATCGATAGTTTATTGATTCTTTTCCCTAAAATACTATACATTTAAAGAAACTCCTGAACTGAAAAGACTTGACAATTTTTGGTAATCTGTAGCAAAGGAATGAGGATTTCTGCTGGTAAGTCTTCAAGATAAACACATACACACAACCACTTCCAAGCAAGACGTCGCGCTCACTGGAACATGAGTAAATGCATAGCTTATATGGCGGCAGCATTTCTCCACGTCTGATACACAAAATAAAAGCTTTCCCCCCCTCCCCACCTGATTACAGTGTAGCTTCCTGCCGCGGCACGTCTGCTCCCTGATGACCAGGACGCTCCGAAGAGACCCTGGTGCTGTGGGTGAGGCCCAGCTTCCGTTGGCTCAGGAGGGACACGATGACGGAATCCGCAGCTGCTGAGAGGCCCGGAGCGCACAGTGCTCTGCTACGGAGGGACGACGGCGAGTGAGCAGTGGACCTGCAGCTGGCCCGTGGCACGAACTCCCCTCCGGCAGTGTCCACTTCCAGGGCCCGAGGGCCTGGCCCACGTCCAAGCCTGGAGAAGGCCCACCCAGCCCACCAGCCAGGCCTGGGCCCCAAGGCCACGGTCTTCAAGCAGTTTACAAATTAAATCCACTGTCAAGAGCCTTTAAAATCTCATGAAAACAGTAGACAAGCTCTTTAGATTCTCTGAATATCAAATAATATATAAGATACACTAGGACATGACAGTCCCACATAAAGTGTCTTGATCTACAGGTGCTTGTGCCTGAAAAGCTAGTCTTTTCAGTTTAGCCTTCCACATCACTGACAGAATTATTCATTTGCAAGAGTAAAGTTGTAAGCACGAAGAGAGTGGAAATAGTTTTTAAATATGGAGACTTCGGGGAGTACTACAGGTTATTTCTGACACCCACACTCACAGTAGAAACCCAGCCATATGTGCTCCCATTCTCTACTGTGATCTCCCGCCTCACACGCCCTATCTGAATGGGCCAGGCGGCCCCAGGCAGTGGTGGGCAAGTAACAGCTCAACACGGAAGCAGAGGTACCACCTCTCATGCCTGGTATATGGCAATCTGTGCCATAACTTAAGCCTAAATGAATGGATGAACAGGTACAACAAAGTACCACTGTACACAGCCTTAAATTAAGGACCTCAGAAAATGGCATTTTGTTCATTTAAGTTACGGGTGAGAAGCGCATCAGAGAAAGAAGTTGGTGGAACAAGAATCAGGGTAACCCCCCAGACGCGGAGGAGAGGCGGAAAGACAGGCCAGGAATATTCAGATCCATGATAAGCCACATGCACACTGAGCGGGGAGAGGGTGCGGGCAAGGGCGGGGTGTCGTGTACTGCGTCTTCCGGTGCTCAGATCCCTCCAACTGCACTGTGGAAAGGCTGCCAAGTCCCAGGTGACATGACCGGCTCGTCTGTCTTCAAGAGACACCATGAAGCCAAGAGCAATGGAACCATCATCTTCTGCAGGAAAAGGAGTGGACGCCACGGCCGGCTGGAGCTGCCGGAGTGCTGCCCAGGCCGATGGCTAACGGAGTTCCTGGGACCGCACCCCTCCGCCAGCCCGCCCACTGGGCTGTCACTGGATCGCTTCGACGTAATTTGCTGGGTACAGGCCAACCTGTCCATTGTCCAAGCGTCCCTTGCACCAGCCCTGCTCATCCTCGTCCTCTATCTTGGTCAGCTCATCCCCTGCAAGACAAAGACGGAGGGGTCTTGGTGAGCAGGCACGTGACACACTGACCCCCGGGTCAGTCTCCCTCATATCTTAGCCCCCACTCTGGGCCCAACTCATAAGTGGAATCTAATTAACAAAATAAACTGGTGAACGGAGTGGATCCAGAGACATGGAAGCATGGAGCAGAGTGCGGAATCTCGGAGGGAATGTGGGGGAGGGTGGGTGGGTGGGAGGCAATTAACCAAAGCCCTTGTATACATACATGCATAACCCATGGACTCAGACAGTGGGGTGGTGAGGGCTTGGGGTGGGGGGGCGGGGGGAGTGGGGGCTGGAGGGAGTCGATAGGGGGAGAAAGGGGACATATGTAATACTTTTAACAATAAAGATTTTAAAAAATAATAAAAATAAAAGAGAGAATAAAAAAGACACAGGCTAGAAAATGCGCGCAGGGCCCTGAGGTCAGGTTTCAGCTCCTGGCAACAGAGCTGTGTTGGTGGTAACGGGGAACACAGCATGGCTACAGGGAGAGTGTGAGAGGTGCGCCCCTAAGGCGAACCTCTGCTGCCCAGGGCACACCAATGCCACTCGGGTCTGGGCAAGGCGGCACCGCCAGGGGGCCCGTGGAGAAAGGCTTTTTCCTAGGGGACTGCGGGCCGGTGCTCGAGATGTTTGGGGGGCTGGGTGGTCCTGGCGACCAGCATCTCCTGCTCCAGTGCCTGTGGTGCCCAGGCCTCGCCCGCTGGAGGCCCCATCTTAGCAAAGGCACAGGCACCTCACTACCTGCTAAGCTCTGGCCTTGAGCATTTGCTACATTTAAAAATATATATATATTTTGACTGATTTCAGAGGGAGAGATAGAAATATCAATGATGAGAGAGAACCATTGATCGGCTGCCTCCTGCACGCCCCCTAGTGGGGATCGAACCCACAACCTGAGCATCTGACCAGGAATCAAACTGTGACCTCCTGGGTTCACAGATCAATGCTCAACCACTGAGCCACATCAGCTGGGCAAGCATCTGCTACTCTTTTTTTTAAAATATATTTTATTGATTTTTTACAGAGAGGAAGGGAGAGAGATAGAGAGTTAGAAACATCGATGAGAGAGAAATATCGACCAGCTGCCTCCTGCACATCTCCCACTGGGGATGTGCCCGCAACCCAGGTACATGCCCTTGACCGGAATCGAACCCGGGACCTTTCAGTCCTCAGGCCGATGCTCTATCCACTGAGCCAAACCGGTTTCGGCACATCTGCTACTCTTGAAGTGGGGACCCAACACTTGAAACCAGCAGGGATTTAGCAGCCTTGGTTGGCAGCATTCTTCCAGATGCCAACGGGGAGCCACCTACCAGCCTTGAAGCTCAGCTCGTCATGCTCCTGCCCCTCATAGTCGTAAAGGGCCCGGACCCGCACTTCCGTCCCCGAGGTGGCATCCTCATCAAATGGATTGGAGTCCCCATTGGCATCCGTGGAGGAGAACGGGTTGTTAGACTCGTCGTCGGACCAGTCAGTGGGGTAGCTCTGCGTCTTCTCGTAGCTGCTCACGCTGCAAGAAAGGGGGGAGCCGGGGCCGTGAGCATGGGGCTGCCAGAGGCAGGAGGCCCTGGCTGGGCTGGGGACTCCTTCCGCAGGAGCACGGCCCCTCAGCATCACAGCGCGGCAGGCTCCCTGCCGGACCCGCACCAGCTCCTGGCAGAGGCAGGGCCGGCGGCTCCAGCAGCGCCACCCCGAGACCTGTCTTCCTGTGCAGAGGCCTTGACTACGGTTAATGGAGGACAGAGAAAAGCAACCACAGGTTAACTGGTGCCCCCCTCCCTGCGAAATTGAAAAGCCAGAGACTGTCACAGCTGGCAGCTGGGCCACCGCCTGCGGGCCTCATGCATTGCTTTCAGTGCCAAGGGGCCGAGACCCTGGACAGAGAGAAGGAGAAAGACAGAGCGAGCGAGGTGAAAACCGGAGGGAAACGTCTGTTCACCAACTTTTTGGCCTTAATGTCCTCCTTCTCACTGACGGTGCTCCCCGTGTCGTCCTCATCCTCGAAGGGGTTGTAGCTGGACAGTGACTGCGCTGACCGTGTGGGGACGCTCGGGACACTAAGGTCGCTATGGGGAGAGAGAGAGCTTTCAGGGGACCCCAGCATGGCAGCCCCTGAGGTCCCGGGTGCTCCCAGCTGCAGGGTCACAGGGCCAGGGGCTAAAGGCACAAGTCAGATGGGAGGAATATGTTGTCTGAGCAGAAAGTAGTTTCAGCAAAATACTTGGCGATACTTTGGTTGTAAACACACAAAGTGTCTAAGACAGTGGTTCTCAACCTTCTGGCCCTTTAAATACAGTTCCTCATGTTGTGACCCAACCATAAAATTATTTTCGTTGCTACTTCATAACTGTAATGTTGCTACTGTTATGAATCATCATGTAAATATCTGATATGCAGGATGGTCTTAAGCGACCCCTGTGAAAGGGTCGTTCGACCGCCAAAGGGGTCGCGACCCACAGGTTGGGAACCGCTGGTCGAAGAGGACAGACTTGCATTTCCATCCGTGCATCAGAGCCCTGGGGGACGAACATGGGGACAGACTTGCATTTCCATCCTGGGAGCTGGCCGGCCAGACAGCCATGGGGCTCAGCCTGTGGGGCTCAGAACCTGCTGATGAGAGGGAGGCTCCCAGAGCTCTGCGAACCCCACAGCACAGCGCACCCCTCCTCTGACTACTAAAGGGTCTTCCGGGCCTGGAGCTTCCAAACGCAGCACGGGAGCCGCTCAACAGCCCTGTCTAGGAAGGAAGAACCCCTTTTGTGCTGCGGAGAGAGAAAACCCATCTTACAACTATGTCCACTGCCTACTGTGTGCCAGGCCTGGGAGGATCAGAGAGAAACTAGACCCAAGCCTGGCCTGAGGGCTGACAGGCAGGGGCGACGGGGTGCAGGGACTGCAGGTGCCGAGCGCAGGGCAGATGGTAGAGAAGATAGGCCCCGAGAGCCCGGCACCCCGTGTAACTCTGAGCTGATGGGCCAGACACCAAGTCCCAGGACAGGCTCCGGCAGCCAGCACCACCTCTCGCCAAGTCCAGGCTGCGTGGAGCAGACACTCAAAGTTCTGGGTGGACGGCTCAGAGATGGAGAGGGGAGGGGAAGAAATGCTTCAAATGCCACCGGAGTGACCCATGACCTCACCGACTTCAGGCCTGGTGAAGGGCACTGGACCCCTGCCTGCCCGCTGCCTACACCTGGGCCACGTGTCTGAGACCACCAGGCCCTCCTCCCTCCTTGGCACCTTCCTCTGACTTCCTGAGAGGGGATTGGTCCTGGGCAGCTGAATCTGTATGGCAGCCAAGGCGGTCTTGACCCAGGCACTCACTGGGGAGTCATCCTCCCCACCCCACCCCATCACATAGGTGCTGGCATGATCCTGGGGATGGTGCTTACTGCTCTACTCACTTAACCAAGCCCACCGGCCCAGACAGTGACAAAGCAGCTGAAAGATGACAAGCCATGTCTGCCCGCGGGGGAAGGGGGTTCGGGCGGGGGCTTCGGTGTCTGGGGCTACAGAAAGGCCCTGGAACCTGTGCTGACCCTTCCTCGGAAGCCACGATCATGTGATGCATCATCACCACGTGATGCATCTTCCCTAGGTGTGATGGAGGCCTCGGCCGGTCGGGCACGGCTCCCAGGGAGGGCCGCCTGCAGGCACAGCTCTGCAGAGGGACAGTGCTTATCCGATGGGAACTCTGTGGTGAGGACAGGCCTTGTCTAGCATACACTATCCAGGAGGCCTCATGGCCTCAGGGCCACCTCTTCTACCCAAACAATGAGAAATAACCAAGGCTCTCAGCAAAGAGGTGATTTCAGAAAGGGGACACCTGACAACGTGCCCCCCCTCCCCAGGTACCTGCATACAGCCTGGGGGAAGTGCAAACCTGGCCAGATGCCTGAAGCAGCCGAAGCAGATGATGTGACCTCCACCTGCCTGTGGGCACCACTGGGACACACATGACCAGCACCGATCAGCTTCTCCCTTCACTTGGGGCCCAAAGCATGTTGTGGCCAAGGCTCCCGCTCTGATCCTTCTGCAGCTCCAGCACCGTTGGACAGATGACCCTCCCCAGAGGTGCCCTGAGGCCGCGCCCACAGAACTCACCAAACTCAGATGCCCAGGGAGCATCTGGACAGAGGCCCAAGGGGGACCCTGTGAAGAGCCACTGGGGACACGCCCAGGTGCCCAAGCTGCGGGCGGGTGTCCTGGCCCATGCAGAGGGCCCAGGGATGGAGGCTGCCCACACCCACCTGCTGGGCTTGTTCTGCAGAGCCTGGTCGCCCGTCTGGTTGATGCCTGTCAGGGTGACGCCGTCAGCGGGCTTCTTCTTCTCTCTCCGGCTGAGGGTCCGATTCATGTCTGCAGACCACTCCTGTGCACAGGCACCGAAGGAGAGAACCCAGAAGTTCATTTGTGTGAGGCCACATCAGTCTAAGACATGGGCAGGGGCTTGGCCCTCAGAGCTGACTGTGCCCTACACTGGACCTGAGCACGTCTGCAATGAGGAAACAAAACCTTGGGGTGCAAATAACACCGGGGGCTGGGGGGCCCTGCATCACCAAAGGGGCAGATAAGCTGACCACTCAGGTCTCCCAGGAGTGGCCCCCTCCCCTGGCGTGCTTTGCTATTCCTATTCCATGCACCTATCTCCCAGAGGTCCGCTCTTTCCCAGTAAATGAACCATTTTATCAAATGCCCTGGAAAACACAGAGCAGGGGAGGGGGAGGATGGGGCTGTAGCAGGACTTTCCAGAAATGCACGTGCGCACATGGCTGATGCGGTTCCCCCTCCCGACAGCACCAATTATCAAACAGCGTTAACTGAACCAGCGCTTGGCGCCACCACGTCCCCCGCTTTGCTCACGTGCAGTTACAGGATCTTAAGGTTCGATGCCATCTTAGAAATCCCAAGTCTAACAATTGCTCAGAGGAGGAAACCGAGACCCAGAAAGAAAGTTACTTTTCCACAGTCAGTGGGAGCTCGGGCACCCACTTGTCTATTACTGCTCAATTGAAATAAGATGGCTGAGAACTCAGCTGGAACCTGAGTCCCCTCAGTGACCTTTGGATGTAAATCTGTCCTGCCTGGTGGCCTGCGGCCGATGTGCTCAAGCCCAGCCTGACTGGCAGGCGGGGCCAGCACACGCTTCCAGAACCAGGCTGTGGGCACACACAGACCCCGGGGCTGCACACGCCGCAGGAGGTTTGGGATTCAATAAGTTAGCCATAAATAGTAACTTACTTCATCCTTGTGGCATGGAAAACAAAACAAATCATTTCATTAGAGAAAGATAAGCACAATCCGCCCATGTGGGCGCTGGTCCCGGATCCGCAGAGAGAAGGGCCACCCAGGGGCTCGCCCAGACACCCACCCCAGGAGATAGCCTGTCTTCCTCCCAGGCCATCCTGCTGTTTGGGTGCTGACACTGACAGGCGACCCTAAGGAGAGGGGGGAGGGATGGGGTGGGTGCTGTGTGCACAAGACACGTCTTCAACCCGCTTCTTCCCACTGAGTCACTGTGGGGGTGTGGGGAGGCTGGGCGCCTTCTCCTTTCTCCTCCAGGTCCCTTCCACTCAGAAGGGCCCCAGGCCTGTTCTGTCCCAGGGCCTGAGGAAGGGGCACAGCCTGCTCTTGGCTTCCTGTTGGGAAATGTCCTAAAAATGGTGCGGGGGCGGGGTGCTCAGCTGCAGGGGCCCTTCTGACATCTGCAGAAGCTTCCTTGAGAAGCTCCAGAAAACACAGGCACACGTGTGAGGACTCAGCAACTGCAGGCTAAAATGGGGCCAAGCCGGCACCCGAGGAGACAGCGATTGTCCACACCACATTTTAGACTTGGGGAAACTGAGTCACAAAAGGGGCAAATGACTTGCTCATCACCCCACAGCTGGTAAGTGGTGAGGCGGGACCTCACCGCACCTGGGCTCTCGCTGCACTGAGTCGGGGGAAGCCACTCGGCCCGAGTCCAAGGCAGAGTCCCTTCCAACATCCTCCCGGGAGAGGCCCTGCTCCACCGCCGAGGGGAGAATCCCCGCCCTCGGAGAACAGGGAGCAGGACCAGTGCCCACGGCCGCCTCTGCTACCATCCAGGTGGGGCAGGCGGGGCGGGGGGCCTGGCGACCCAATCCTTGGGCTGGAAGAGTCTGAGATCCCCAGGCATTTTGCATGTAGACATTGGAAGGCTCAGACCCAGGAAAATGGGAAAAGAGGACAGTTAACCCTGAACCCAAATGTACTGTCTGAAATAAGGAAAGTGTGAAGGGGAAGAAGAGCTACACACTGAGCCCACACTCCCCTTCAGGCCTGGACCAGAGGCAGCTGAGCTAGTGCCGTGGCCCGCAGGCTGGTGTGCACTGTGGCCGCTCCCTCCCGGACATCCCAGGTGGGACAGGGAACTGGGGGTCGGGGGTGGGGGAGGCCTGCATGTCCTGCAGCTCCTGGGACTCGCCCTGAGGAAACAATGTCAACAGGTGACCAAAGTTCTTATCGAGAAAGGACATAATTGCACCTTCCCTCGAGATTCAGGCCCTTCAGCAACGCCGGAAGCCCCACAAAATCAGACATCAGCTTGCCTTCGAGCGCAGCTGGGTAACAGCTGCCTCATGAGCAGGGCAAAGGCCAACGCGGAGGTGGAACGAGAAAGTGCATGACTCGACCCGTGGGCACAGCCCCGGCCGGGCCAAGGGGGTCCCGGGTGCAGCCTCCTCCTACCTCAAACTGCGGCCAGTTCATGGACATGCCCGGCCCGTGGTTGGCTCTGAACCACCTCAGGTCCTCCACCGCGTCGGCAGCTTTGAGGCTCTGCTCCAGTTCACGGTAAATGTTTTTGTAGCTAAATCAGAAAGAAGCGTGACTCTTGGAAGGCAGGGACGGCCACACTCATGCCAGCCCAGTGCCTGCCACAACGGGCACCGAGGTCTGCAGCCTCCACAGCTGACTTCACACTGACCAGGACCCCCTGCCCTGGCTCGGCTGGGTGGTCATCCGGCCTCAACATGCACAGATGACCACCAACAACAATGGCGTGGAAGCCACAGCTCTGGCTTCTAACAAGCCAGTTTTCAATCACCAGGGGGCAAGTTGGCTTTGTTCTGTACGGGGTAATACAGAAAACACCGGCATCTGGGCCACACAGGCCACCAATCCGGGTGGTCCCACTTAACCAGCTCCAGAATCCAGTGTCGGGAAAGTTCCTCTTCATCCCTTCAGAAGTGGGGACGCCTCCTGCTGGACAGCTCACAGCAGCTCGCTTTCCTAAGAAGCTGACCACGTTGAGTAGGAGTATGTGTCACTATGGGTCATTTACCCGCCCTAGACCTCAGTTTCCTCCTCCGTGGAGTGGGCACAATACCATCTATTATGGGTTGAATCCAAAAGATGTTGAAGTCCTAACCCCCAGTACCTCTTTGGACACAGCGTCTTTACAGAGGAAATCAAGTTAAAATTAGGTCATTAGGGTGGGCCCTAATCTATGGACATCGTTTTATAAAAAAGGGGGGATTTGGACACAGCCACGGAGAGGGAAGACTGTGAGAGGCCACCTTGAGAGAAGACGGCCATGTGACTGAGGTGATGGTCTATAGCCTAGGAAGGCTGAGGGCTGACAGCAGACACAAGCTGGAATCGGCAGGAAGACCCCTGCTAGACCTGCTCGGGGAGCCTGCCCTGCGACACCTGGGCTGTAGACTTCCAGCTCCAGGAGAGAGAACAGACTTGTGATGAGGGAAACACCCAGTTTGTGTATTTTGTTACAGCAGCCCCAAGACACTACTACACCATCTACTGGCCAGAGTGGCTTGGAGGGCTGAGCAAGGCCAGCATGCCAACCTAGGACAAGCACTCACACAAGCACTCACGTGCGGGAGCTATTCTACACAGAGAGGAGCCCAGCCCTGCCCCAGCCAGCTGTGTGGCCTCAGACAAGTCACTTAACCTCACCCAGCCTCAGCCGCCTCAGCAATAAGACAATGCCACCTACTTTATAGACTGTCATAAAGATGAATTAAATGGTGGCAGGGTAGCTGTGCAATAATTGTTGCTTTTGTTGTTTTATACAGAAGGAGACACAGGTAACGTAATTTCCTGGTAACAAGCCCTGCTCTGTGGATGGCAGAAGTCTATGTCCAGGGTTGCCCAGACCTCTGCCTGAACAAAGGCATCATGGGACCAGAGGCAGAGAAGTGCAGAAAAAGCTTCCCAGTCTCCCAGCACCATTCAGATCTGAGTCTCCGAGGGGCTGTGCTGTCCGGGCCTAGGACCACTGAGAAGTCTAGGACCGAGCTGGCAGCCAGCTAGTCTGGACAGAGAGGACTTATAAGGGGCCTCAAGGTCAGACCGTCATGGGGGCAGGGCATGCCAGCCCGGAAATGCTGTACTTGCACCGGGCTGACTTCAAATCCACCACCTATAGCCAGTCCGAGCCGCAGCCCTCCCCGTGCGTAGACCCAGTGCTGCACACAGAGCTGGTAGAGCAGCCCCTCACTGTGCGGAATGGGGCCGGGGGGCTCAGGCCAGTGACCAGCTGCTGCGAGCAGCGGCGACAGGCTCAGCAGAGGGGCTTGCCCTGGGCAGGGGAACTTCACCTGACCACCGCTGCCACCCCATATCTGGAGACCAGTGACTGAGCTTTGCTCGAAAGCAACCTTCCGCTGACTTCACTGTGACGTGCTCTGTGGCTAGCAGGACACCCACCTGGACACATTGGACAGGTCTAGGTGCTTCTGAACCTCGAGCAGAACTTCCCGGAAGAAGCGCAGGCGCTTCTCCTCAAACTGCTGGCACTGCTCGAACACCTGCTCCATGTTCTCCATGTACTGGGGGGTGCTCTGGTCCAGCTCCTTCAGGGACTTCTCGTACTTCTCTTTGGTCTACAAGAAAACGCAGACCCCACAGAGGGAGGGTCACCACCAAGAGGAGGCGAGCCAGGCTCTGTGCCACGCGGGTCCTCACGGCCTGAGTCCCTCCCCACCACTTCTGAATTCAGCAGCAGCTGGACTTACTTATCAAGTGACAATATTACACCAGCCGCTGGTGTATAAGGAATAAGCACGGTGAGGAGCTGTGACCTGCATCTAAGAAGCACCCCGATCTATTTCCTTTGCACCCCTCAAGTCCCTTGACAGTAGCAGCCTCTCTCTCCCTCAGAGCAAAGCACACGGAGAGGCTGGAAGCTGGAGGCCAGGCACAGGCCCAGCCCACTTCCTGGGAACTATTCAATCACAAGTTGCTGGCTCGTGTTTAAGTCCTGTGACCCAGACCTTCCAGGCAGAAGCCCACCTGCACCTGAGGAGCCCTTCATCAACATCCTGTTTGATCTTCTCCCTAATCCACTGCGGGGTGGGGGGGGGGCCTTCATAGTGGAAGACACGATGGCACCCAGAAGCCACACTACCTGTTCACAGTCTCTTCTTGGCTGAAAGCACCTGCCCCACCACCCAAGCTCCTGCAGCCGCTGCCCACACCTCTTTGGGGCCCTCACTGCTGAGGCTGCCAGAAAAACCCTCCTGCTCCAGGCCCTGAGCTCCCTGCGGCCCAGCGCACCAGCCTCCACCCTCCATGGGACTCGCTTCCACACCAGAGCAATCACTCTAAACGGCCTGGTCCGCCACACCTCTGCCCTCCCTTCTTGCAGTGGTTCCATCAGCAGCTTCTCAAGCTCCTTACTTTGCCTGACTCTCAAGGCCATTGGCAATTTGGTCCTCAAAACCGTCTGTATCAGCTCATACATCAGCTCCCGCTGGGCCATTCACACCTCCGTGTCCTGCACAAGCGTTCTTTCCCGCTCTCTGCCCACAGCCACCCCAGCTGCCCAGCACCCTACCCCCGAGCTCTGGAGAGGCCCTCTGAGGACAGGAATGCGTGTGACTGTGTATCCTTCTCTTCACCCAGGCAGCCAAGCAGCGGCAGAGGCTCCCGTGTGCCAGATACACAAGCGGGAGAGGCGGCGCACTCACCACGGGAAGAGATGTGCATGATTTACCTTAAGGACATCTTGTTTGCACTTTTCTACTTTGTCTTGCAACTTCTTAAGCTGTTCAGGGTTCAGGGATGGGTCCACTTTGCTATTGCTCTCTCGTGATATCGCCAACTTCTCCTCTTTGCACGCTGCGTGGTAGGCTTTCTTTGCTGCTTCTACCTGCAGGGAGAAGGAGTTCCTGAACCTCGGGATTCTGAAAGGTCAAAATCCTCACCGGAGGCTACAGAGACCCTGGGAAGTGCTTGTGCTTTCAAGAAGCGAGGGAAGCACAGGGACAGAGCTGTGTTCAGTATCACTACACGCCGTTATGACAGAGGGCCCCATTCAACAGACATTGACGGGTGCCTGCTTGGAGCCAGGCGCTGTCCTAGGCACTAGAATGAGGTATGGCACCAACAAAGGACCTGGGCATTCATGGGGCTTATGGTCTAGCTGGGGAGGCAACCATAAGAAATAGTTCAAGTTCAGGGTAAATTAGTAGGTGATAAGTGCCAAGGAGGAGAAGAAAGCAAGGAAGAGAGATGGGAAGCCAGTAGTGGAGCTGGGCATGGAGAAAGCCACCCAGATGACATGGAGCAAGAATTAAAGGGGGGGGGGGGGGTTGGCCACCTGAGGGAAGAGCATGCCCAGCAGCGAGAACAGCAAATGCAGAGAAAGCTTCACAAGAGAAACCTAACACAAGAGAGGAGGTAACACTGGAAGGCGGGGTCACAGGCCACACTTCCCATTGGCCATTGTTTAGCCACACACACACACACACACACACACACACACGCACATAGGTGCTGACGACATATGTATAACTCATTTAACGGAAGCTTCCTTACTTGAGCCAGTCATGGATTTCATTTTAGAGATGAGCATGTAACCACGGCCACATGAGGGGGATAGTGTCATTACAAATGAGGCCAGGGACAGAAAGGAAGCGACAAAAGCCAAGACACAGAGAAAAGAAAGGAAGACTGTAGTTCCCACCAGGATACGCAGGTGAGGGAGTGACTCTGAGGAGGAGGGTGCAACTCCTGAGAAGAGCCAGGGGAGTGGGAGGGGGAGGAAGTGGCACCTCTACCCCAGAGGAAGGGGTTGGCCAGGGTGCGGGTGGGGGGGCCCCCCGCAAGTGCTGAGGGCGGGGAGGGGCGTGTGTATGTCTGAAAGCCTCCAGCGAGCCAAGGCTGGACAAGACTAAGTGGCTTCGGTTGCTCCTTTCAGAAAAACAAACTCAGTATCATTTTCAAATTTGAGAGAAAAACACATATAAGAGAAAAAAAAGTTTTAAACCAATCCTTTCTACTAGCCCAAATCTCTCTAGCAGACAATTCCCAGGCTGGGGCAAGTACTGCTAGTGGATAAGAGTTTGGGTTTTGAGCTCTATCAGCAGTATCTGATCCTCAGTGTCCTGACTGTAAAATGGGTTGATAAGGATTAAATTGAAGTCTGGAACTTGGGTAAATGTTAGCCACTAAGGGCTTATGGCCTGAGGGGTGGCCCTTTATTTCTGATGCTAACAAACGCAGGAATTCCTGAGAGTGTGGGAGGAGCACTGCTGGTAGGGAGGACTAGGGCCACAGGTCCCAGCCAGGAGCACAGGTCTGCAGGGGGCGGGAAGGGAGCTGCAGGAGGGAAGGGAGCTGCGGAAGGGAAGGGACCTGTGGGAGGGTGCACCTCTTTCAGCTTCTTGGCCCAGGGCTTCTGTGCCTTCCGAAAGCCGTCCTCGGCTTCTTTGGTCTCCTTAAAGCCCCCCATCATCTGCTTGTGAAAGGCCTCCTTCTGCCAGTTCTTGATCTTCTCGAAGTCCTCGTTCATCAGGGAGGCCTTCACCTCCAGGTGCAGCTCGCTCACCTTCTCCGCCTCGGACATGACGGCCATCCAGGCCTTCTCCACCGTCCCGTACTGAGGCCCTGCACAGGAGAGAAGCTGGTGGTCACTTGTCCCCGTGGGGCGGACAGGCCCTCCAGGGGACTTCCTGTCAGTCTCTCCCCGCTGCCAGGGAGTTGGGGCCAGCAGCCTGGCTGTCTGGCCAGGAGGCTTCCTTGTGGTTGTTTCAGATACTGTCCTCTCAGCGGCTGTTCCTTTTTCAGTTCCTGGGATGATGAAATAATAAGGAACTGAGGCTGAATCAGCTTGGCCATTCTTTTGCTAGGGAACTTGAGAGATGAAATAAATTTCCTTTTTGAAGTCACTGGGCTCTTTAGAAACTCAAATTTCTGCTGTTTTAATTTGTGTAAGGCTGGCTGTTGGGGGAGGGGCCTTCGGCAGAACTGACCTCTCTCCCAGGACACTTCCCTCTGGGGGGCTCCTCAGCACCATGGCCCCCTTCTCCTGGGCCACACACTCTCCCTCCCAGGGATGAGGCAGGACCTGTCATTCACTCCCAGGAAGAGCCCGGCCTGTGCCCTCAGCAGAGCAGAAGCTCTGTCTTGGGGGAGGAAAGAGTCGGAGGCAGGAACCTGCTCCGGTCAGATGGAAATCTCTAGATAGTGGGGTGGGGTGCCTGAGTCAGGAAGGAAATGACAAGCGGCCTGTCATTTTGAGGATGTGGGGTGGCATGAGGTGAGGGAGGGAGAAAGGCAGAGCTGGGGATGAACATAGAAGCCCCAGGTTCTGTCCTCAAGGCACTCCCAGGGGACAATGACTGTGTGAGCTGGGTGATGACAGAGGCACTGGTGGGGGAGGGGGAACCTCTAATCCCTGGCGTCTATGAAACCTGCAGCTCCCTGTCCTGCTTAGATCCGCAACGCCGGGCAGGATCCACAAGGTGACCCTCGAGCTCTGAAGGGACCGAGGGATTGTGTCGACAGCCGGATCCTGAGAGGCAGAAACAAATGACAACAGCTACCATTTACTGAGGGATGGGCCCATCCCTGGCTACGCCTCATCCATGAACAGCCACTCTGCTGGTCCAGACCCTGGGAGCCCTGCCCTCCTGAACCCCGACCCTCCAGGACCCCTGACCCAGGTGCCCTGGTTGGCACCTTCGAGGACAGCGGTCATGGTAGAAGAACCTGAGAAACACACCCTGAGAAGCTCCTACCCCCCCGCCACCCCCGCTCTGTCCTAGGAAACCCTGGACCAGTCAAGTGCCCTCTACTGCTGGGAAGTGCGCTGAGCACAATCCATGTCCACAGTAGCCTTCTGTCACTAAGCTCCAGAATCTTCTGTTTGGCTAGGGAGGGAGAGAGGCAAAACCTGTTATTCCATTAAAATTCAAAACTGGCCCTAGCCGGTTTGGCTCAGCGGATAGAGCATCGGCCTGTGGACTGAAGGGTCCCGGGTTCGATTCCAGCCAAGGGCACATGCCTGGGTTGTGGGCTCGATCCCCAGTAGGGGGCGTGCAGGAGGCGGCCGATCAATGATTCTCTCTCATCATTGATGTTTCTATCTCTCTCTCCCTCACCCTTCCTCTCTGAAATCAATAAAGAAATATATATTTTAAAAAAATAAATAAATAAAATTCAAAACTGAAGCCCTGCTGGATGTCACTATCCAGCCCCGCCTGACTCGCTCCATGGCCGGGCTCACACCTCAACAGCTCTCAGGGCCAGAAGCTCGATGCTGAGTGGCCAGGCTTCTGCTCGGATGGAGCTTTCTCAAGTGTGGGCCCCTGGGAGCCTCAGATGCTATCCCTAGAGCAGTCCTGCCATGAGGAGAGGAAATCTCACGCAGCCTGTGCTGCTGGGGGACAGCACCTTGCTGCTCTCCCAAAGGAATCACAGCCCCAGAACTGCAAGACGCACTCCTGCCCAGTTCCTTATAAGAGGAAACCAGCGCAGAGAGGTCACTAATTTGCCCAGAGCTGTCCTGGGCAGGGGCCTCCCTACCCTTCTCCACGAGCTGCCTCCAGCGCCGGGCCCACTCGGTGAGCTGCTGCGCATACGCCTTCTCGATGCGCGCCCGCTCATGCAGGCAGTTCATGAGGTCGCTGCACAGGCGGTGGCCATCGTCGATTCGCTTCACGGTCCGCTTGTAGTTGCCGACCTAGGAGACAGAAGCAAGCACGCTGGGAGGCTTGGGGCTCTGGGCAGCAGCCCACCTGACAGAGCCTCTGGGAGTAGGATAGCCTGGCCCTCACTGCTGTTGCAGCAGCCTCCATGCCCACCAGGCTCCCGAAGGCCCATCCCGCTCCCATTTGAAAGGCATCCCCACATCATTAGATGACAAGCTCCCGCTTTCACTTAACCAGCAGGAACTTACAAAACAGCCATTCGAAGCTTCTCAATGTCCACGTGGCCAGTGTCCCTGCTCTGGCCTATGGGTCAGGGAGGGAGACAGACCAGCTCAGGGATGGCTATGATGGAGGGAAGTGAGGGGCTTAGGGCACCCGGGGGGGGGGGGGCATCTTATGCAGACTGAGGGGCCAGGGACAGCTTTCCAGAGTAGGTGATGCCTAACTGGAGAGATTTAAAATAATAATGTTTTAGTAACTCATAGTAAAATGATCTTACATTACAGACTTTTGGCTAAAGGCCTTTGATCATCATGGGTATAAACAGGTGTCTTCTGCCTTGTTGTCATCACTTGCCGGATTATTATTGCCTTCCATCATAGCAATCAACACTATTTCCCACTTACTGAGCACCTACTATGTGCCAAACACCACAATAGGTGTACTACACCTCCAAATACTGCCACCACCGTAACAAGCAGGAATAACCGTCCCCGCTTTAAGATGAAGAGACCAAGGCTTAGAGAAGTCGCATCGTTTGCCAAGATCCCACAGCTGCAGACCCTTCTCTGCTTGGACAAGGACTAAGGTGAGCTTTGGCCACTTTTTCTCATATGTTAAAGGAGAGACTAGCTCATCTAAATTGTAAATAATAAACGGATAATTGAGAAAATTCTAGTGGCTAATTTGGAGGGATAATCGGGTGTTCAATGTTTCATTCTTTGAGCTGCTGGCTTCAAAGGGCACCGCGTAGCTCATCCTGGACACCAGAAATACCTGGTTCCTGGAGGAAATGGGGCAGAAAAACCATCTATTGTATTTTCAACCCCTTTCTCCCTGTCTTCAAAAACCCCAGCCAACCTTCTGCCAGTTTTAGCGTTTCTAAGTCTCTGCCTGGCTCATCATGCTCGTACTTCACCCCTGCTGAGAGTGAATCTGGAAGCTCCTGGAGAACAGGGTCCCACTCCTGCAGAAAAGGGTACGGTCCTCAGGCTGCGGAGACCAGCGGCACTGCTGCTCACTTCTGATTTACGCACAGTGTGGCTACCAGCGCCTCTCCTACCCCGAGCCTGGCTACCGGGTGAAGAAGGGGTTCTGAGGAGTGGTGGGAGGAGCCTGGGAAGGCACAGAACGCATGGAGATGGGCAATGGGGGGAGGGACTGAGATGTCGCGCTCCCATGGGGACAGAAGCCCTGGAAGTCAGGTGGCCTGGCAGCCTTCCCCAGAGGCCACTGAGATTTGCACCAGGCACTTGTGTTATTATTTATTAATTGTTGCATTATTTTCCCTCCATAGTCCCCCAGCCCAGGCCTGGCCTGGCTGTTAGCCCTCAGTCAGGGAAGCAGGTGAGCAGTGCACCAACACACACAGGCTGAACCCGAGCTTTCAGCCCTACCCTTCAGCAGCCCCTTTTTAGGAAGGCGAAAGCGAGCATTTCACAACCAGTTGGAAGTGACATCACATGTTCACTTCCCATTTGAAAGAGGGCCTTGCTGTCATTTTGAAATTTACAGCAAGGTGAAAAAAATCACCAACAAAACCCGTCAGTGTCGCTGAGCTGGTGGCCCGGAGAGCTGAGAGCATCACGGCCCGTGCGCACCTGACAGTCCCCAGGCAGCCACCACGCGAGCTGGCTTTCATCCCGTCACCAACAATATTCAAACTGGTCACCAACATCAAAACATGTCGGCTCTCCAGAAACCTGCCCATCTCTGACTTTCAAAACCCTTGTACAAAGATTTACAGAAAAGAAAAGGATGTTTCTTAACAAGGTCCATGTTGGTACAACCCATCAGCACATACAAGGTGAGGAAAGTAGGTTTACAGTTGTGAGTATGTGAAATACAGCTTATTCTTATTCTTTTATTATTATTTACTAGAGGCCCGGTGCACAAAAATTTGTGCACTCGGGGGGGGAGGGGCCCTCAGCCCGGCCTGTGCCCTCTCGCAGTCTGGGACCCCTCGGGAGATAACAACCTGCTGGCTTAGGCTTGCTCCCGGGTGGCAGAGGGCAGGCCCAATCCCTAGGTGCAGCCCCTGGTCGGGCTCAGAGCAGGGCCGATTGGGGAATTGGGGCACCGCCCCCTGTCATGCACAGAGCAGGGCGGATTTGGGAGGTTGCGATGCCACCCTCAGTCACGCTCAGGGTAGGGGCACTTCCCCCTGTCACACTCAAGGCAGGGTCGATGGGGAGGTTGCGGCGCCACCCCCTGTCATGCACAGAGCAGGGCCCATCAGGGGGGTTGGGGCTCCGTACCCTGTCACGCACAGAGCAGGGCCCATCAGGGGGTTGGGGAGCTCCCCCCTGTCACTCACAGAGTAGGGCCCATAGGGGAGTTGGGGCACTGCCCCCTGTCACACACAGAGCAGGGCCGATCAGGGGGTTGGGGCGCCGCCCTCTGTCACCCACAGAGCAGGGCCGATCAGGGGGTTGGGGCACCGCCACTCTCACACTCAGGGCAGGGCTGATGGGGAGGTTATGGCTCTACCCCGTCACACACAGAGCAGGGCCCGTAGGGGGGTGGGGGGGTTGGGGCGCCGCACCCTGTCACACACAGAGCCACAGGGCGATCAGGGGGCTGGGGAGCTCCCCCCTATCAGGCACAGAGCAGGGCTGATCAGGGGGTTGGGGTGCCTTCCCCTGTCACGAACAGAGCAGGGCGGATAGGGAGGTTGTGGCCCTGCCCCGTCACACACAGAGCCACAGGGCAATCAGGGGGTTTGGGCGCTGCCCCCTGTCACGCTGATCCCGGTGCCGGGAGGCATATTACCCTTTTACTATATAGGATAGAGGCCTGGTGCATGGGTAGGGGCTGGCTGTTTTGCCCTGAAGGGTGTCCTGGATCAGGGTTGGGGTCCCCACTGGGGTGCCTGGCCAGCCTGGATGAGGGGATGATGGCTGTTTGCAGCTGGTCACACACCCTTCAGGGTGGGGGTCCCCACTGGGGTGCCTGGCCAGTCTGGGTGAGGGGCTGAGGGCTGTTTTCAGGCTGGTGGGTGACTGAAGCTCCCAACCGCTCCTTTTTTTCTTTTTTTTTTTATTCTGGGCCAAGGCCTCTGCTGCTGAAAGCAGGTATCTGGTTTGTTTCGGTTCTATAATAGAAACACTGTATCATCTCCAGCTGAGATCCTGCCGGCTGAAAGCTGGTTTCTGGGGTTTTGTTTAGCTTCTATATTTGTTACAATGTTTCAAACTGCCAGCTCAGAGGCCGGCAAGGCAGGCAGGGAACGTTGGAGTCTGCAGTCACTGGAGCAAGCAAGCCTCATGTTCGCTTCCAGCTGCCTGGCTGCCGGCCGCCATCTTGGCTGGCAGTTAATTTGCATATCGCCCTGATTAGCCAATGGGAAGGGTAGCGGTTGTACACTAATTACCATGTTTCTCTTTTATTAGATAGGAGGATTAATTATTGTACTATTGTCCATTCAAACTGTAAACCTACTTTTGCCCCACCCTATATTTAAATAACTACTCTTGAAAATCTGAAAAGCAGCAAGGAGTTCAGGAAGGATGTTTCCAGAAGCACGTGTTGTATGTTTAAGTGCCGGCACTGTGACCACTGCTGGGCCACGGGGAGAAAGGAGTGCTCAAGGTGACAGGCACTGAAAAGCCATCTATGTCCCTAAGTCCATCTACATTCAGGCTCACCCCTCAGATATCAAGACGCTAAAGACAGATGCTCAACACACGTGTGCCTGGGCACAGGACCACGATGCTCGTCCTCTTGCTTCAGTACTGCCTGGCTGAGGGAGGGGCAGGGCGGGGAGGTATACTGAAGGCAACATCCAAGCTGAACTTTCAAGGACTTTCAAGGAGGCTGGCACATTAATGGGCAAGTAGGAGGCTGGCCACATTGATGGAGAGGCGAGGGAAAGGATTCCAGGCAGAGAACAGTGCTGGCAAAGTGAAGAAGTTGTGACAGCATGGAGACCTGGGGCACTGTGAGACGTCCACCAGGAATGGAACACAGAACACAGAACGCAGGGCAATGAGCAGAGACTTGGCCAGGGGTCAAGTGCAGCGGGTGGGGTGGGAGGTGGGGTCAGACAGTGAGAAATCTCCAGGGCGGGCCTTCACCCTGAAGGGTGCTGTGCTCAGTCCTGGTGGGCTTCGGGAGGAGGAAGCTCCTGGGGGAAGGTGTGAGAGTGCCTCCTGAGACTGGGGCGCAGCTGTGAGAGGAGAGCTAACACACGGATAACGTTAGAAAGGGGCGGGGACTGAGTGCCAAAGGCAGGGGGAGGAGAGGGGAGCAGACGGCTGTTGATGGAGTGTCCCATCCTACCTGCCCCAGTTTCAGGTCTGCAAGGCTCAGCTCGGCTTCCCCAGGGCGGCTTCCCTGCCGCCTGCCGTCCCAGCCGGACCACCAGTGCAGAGCACCTGCATCACCTGCACTTGAACACAGGCGAGACCAACTCCCCGGCCCGGACTCCTGCTGGCTGGTCCACCCGGGGCCACGAGGGCCCTTCCGAACACGGCCCCCATGGCCCGCAGTCGCAGCTGGTCCCGCACAGGTAACGATCATGCATGTTAGCTCCCTGCCGTGCTGGGCTGCAGGCCTCCTGGCAGCAGGTGCCGCACGGTCTCTCCCCAGCAGCAGCCTCATAATAGGGCCTGTCCACACCGAGCCGGGCGGGGTGCTGACAGCGCCACAGGGGCCACATCATCGAATCTGTCACAATCCGAGGCAGCGGGTGCTGCTTATGTTTCCATTTTACAGCAAAGAAACTGGTTTGAAGAAGCGAAGTCACCCATGATCACGCAGCCAGGAGGCAGAGCCCACCTTACAGAGCCTTCCGCAGGCCGAGAGCAGAGAAGGCATAGAGCCAAGACTTAATGGTTGGTATCAGGTCACATGTGTGCTTCCAACAGATTCAGGGAAGGCCACAGAGGTCAGGACTGTCAGGTAGCATGCAGGCCCTGTCCCTGATCCCGCCATGTGCTGGTGAGGCTATCAGGAACCCCAAACCTGAAAACTACTAAAACCGCTTGCTCAAGATGACCTTTATTTTACCCTCAGAACACTCATGCCCTGTAACCTGCAGCCCTGAGGCCTAAGCACACTGCCCCCTCCACACCTGGAGGCACGTTCAAGGGCGAGCCAGCTGTGCCGGGCGGAGTGGACAGAGCATGCCGAGAATAAACCCATTTGTCTTTGCTTCTTCAGGCGAAAGCAGATGTTCTTGTCTACCGACAGTGTGACAGCTAAGAATTTAGATGGGAGCCTAAGAGCTTAAATCAATGGCTTGTTAAAACTACTGGATTTAACATATGCTGATAACATATTCTGGCAACTTTCACCTTTTTTTCTTTTTTCTTTTTAACCAAGCAGCTGCAGGCTTCTGTAATAGCACTGCATTTAGTTACTTCATTTTCCCAGGCGCTTTCTGTCATCAACTGGGTCATTACAGTGATGCTGCCAAACGCGGCTGCAGGAACAGGCATGCCGTGCGCTGAGACCGCATCGCCACAGCAGAGGCCAGGACTCCCAGCCAGAACCTGTCCCGACACCTGACACCACTTTACATGTTCCCATTCCCTTAACCCTCACATATGCTAGGATGTGGGTATCAGCATCACTCCCACTCTACAGATTGGGAAATTGAGGCAAAGACAAATTAGCAACTTGCCCAAAGCCACATACACGTGAAGTGACAAGCCTGGGAGTCAAACCCAGGTCACCTGGCTTCAGAGCACGTGTGTGAACCTGCCCCGCTGCCTGTGTCGGTCTCTCTTGAAGGCCTTCTGTGTGCTCCATCCCCTCCGCATCGCCACCTAGCTCAAGGCAGGTACTGATTAATACCAGAAGCAATGTCATTCCTTTAGGAAAAAAATTTTCCCCAAGACTCTAAAGCAGCGGTTCTCAACCTGTGGGTCGCGAGACCTTTAGCGATCGAACGACCCTTTCACAGGGGTCGCCTAAGACCATCCTGCATATCAGATATTTACATTATGATTCATGACAGTAGCAACATGACAGTTATGAAGTAGCAACGAAAATAATTTTATGGTTGGGTCACAACATGAGGAACTGTATTTAAAGGGCCAGAAGGTTGAGAACCACTGCTCTAAAGGATTCTGTCTATGGTTTGGCTCAGCAGTGAGAATCACGAGGACTTGCGTTTCTAAAGGCCAGCCCACCAGGAGCTCCCAGGAAGTCTGCACAGCCACCACTGGCTCCTGAGTGTCCTTCTAAGCTGCACAGCCTTCCTGGGGCCGGCACGCGGGGCCTGCCTGTCTGCGAACAGGGGGCAGAGGGGCAGCCTGAATTCCAGCATTTGTCCCACGGGCACCACCAACTGCATCCTGTGACCTCCAGTTCTAACACAGCTCCATCCAGTTTCACCATCAACGTCCCCTAGGCAGTGGGAGTGCACCTGACAATGCCAGGAAGCCGCTGCTGCCCACAGGCCGGGACACACCCGTGACTCTGTCGCCGCCCGTCAGAAATGTTCTGCCTTCTAAGAAATGTTCCCTCAGACGATGTGCCTCTCTGGCTACTGAAATTTGAGCTCTGGCCCAGATACCCACCAGGAAGGTGCTATCACCTAAGGGGCAGGGACAGAGGGCACTGGCACCCCTGTGCTATTTCATTTACTCGGATCCCATGGAAGCCAGCTACCCTCCTTGAGGGTAGGGACTCAGACGGCCACATTCCTTGTTGGAGCCTCAAAGGGCCTACCACACAGTAGGTGATCAATAAACACATACTTTTAATAAAATGAAGTATTCAGCTAAAAGTTAATATTGAGCTTTCCCCCAATACATAGGAAAGAAAAGTGTGGATAGAAGTTTGAGCTCCTGGACCATCTTTTCTAAACTTGGCCACCTGTGATCACTTATCTATTAGTCTATAATATCAGATGGTATTTGATGTCAGACAAAATTATACACTTAATTATTCTAAGTTTATACAACTCCTTTGTGCTCATGCCCAGTAAGACCCAGGCCATCATCCTCACCTTCTGCACCACTAGAGCCTCCAGGGTCAGAAAAGCACCCACGTGGGAGCCAATGTCTGCATTCTCACTTCATCCTGGCTGCCTCCCTCAAAGGCCAGTATCATCCCCTCTTTACAGATGAAAAGCCTGAGGCTCATAGTGTCAAGCAACTTGCCCAAGGTCACACAGCTAGTAAGGGCACAGCTAGGATCAAACCTAGATATTTTCATTTTTTTAAAAATATATATATTTTAAATATATTTTTATTGACTTCAGAAAGGAAGGGAGAGGGAGAGAGATAGAAACATCAATGATGAGAGAGAATCATTGATGGGCTGCCTCCTGCATATCCCCTTACTGGGGATCGAGCCCGCAACCCAGGCATGTGCCCTTGACAGGGATCGAAACTGGGACCCTTCAGTCCACAGGCCGATGCTCTATCCACTGAGCCAAACCAGCTAGGGCAGAACCTAGATCTTTTCAACTGCAAAGCCAGTGCTCTTTCCATGAAACCCATGGCTACAGGGAAAGTTACAGGGGTTTTACCATGAGAATAAAATTTGATCAAAAAAGGACTTTCCTTCAACCAGCAGGCAGGAAAAGTATGACTACCAAAACCACAGAATAATCTAATCAGGAAGGGAGTTCCTCATAGGCTCAGACAGACAGGAAGATGCTCCAACCAGCTCCAGGGCAGTGTGTTTAGCCCTCTGGCCATTTGCCTGCACTGGCCAGCATATCACATCACCGCCGTCTGTTTTTCTACACAAAACTGCCTTTCAGGCTAAGCCCAGTGATTTGTATATCTCACTCTAAGTCATACATGGTTGAACATGAAAAGGAAGATCAGAGAATGGACAAACTGACAAGACCTCTAAAGCACCTAACTTTTCTAGCAAGGCAGCTTCACTGACAGCTTAGCCATCCTGTTGCCATCCAAATCTGACCACAAATGCCTGGCTGGTTTGGGGGTATGTTTATCCCTCCCCCCCACACACACACAGTCCTGGCAGGCAGGCATCAGCCTGATTTCTGTATCATGGGGGGAAAGCCTGGGCATTACCTCCCAGAAGCTGTCGCTGGACACTTCTACTCCAACGGAATCATCGTAAGTGACAGACATCTCTCCGAAGGGTGAGGGAGCAGCAGGTCAACTGCAGACACTCCAACAAGGAAGACAAACCTACAAGAAAAACATATCATTGTGATTTTGAACTCCCAAGGTAAAAGCAAGCCATCCCCATTGAAGATTTCCATTTCCAGCATTGCCTGCATACAAAACAGTCTAAAATGTTTCCTTTAGTTGGGAGAAGGTCCATAAACTCATGTGTATTTCACATTAACAAGTAAACCTCCTCAACATCCTGCTGGAGAGCTAGAAGAGCTTTCAGAACAGTTTGTGTTCTGAAATCAACAGATTGATGCCTTCACTAAACACTCTTGCTCATCCCTTGGAGAACGAGGCACAGAACACGTGAGGAGAGCAGCAAATGAGGGCAGAGCCCTTGCATCTCTGGGCTCACTCTGTCCCAGCCTGTCCTAGCCATCCAGCAGGGAGAGGATGGGGTAAACTGTGAGTGGAAATAATCCCACCTTTGACATGACTCTCCACTCTTCACAGGGTTCCAGCACATTCTGACTGTGCCGGGCACTGTCCTCCCCGACCCAGGGCTGACTCATCTCAGCCACTGAAACCCCAAATTCAGACCAATTTCTTTGGACACCATCTGTGTGAGGGTCAGCTACACAGAGTAAAGACGAACAAGCGAAAGTGACCGTTTCTGAGTGCAGATGCAGTGTTCTCAACCCAGCAAGGGTCAAGGGGCAGTTCTCCCCTGCTGGAGGGAAGAAGCTGAAGCACATTCGGAAGCACAGATCACTGCGATGGAATGACCTGTCCACAGGGATGAGACGCCACCCTCCTTCCCATCACCCTGTGTTCAGATCACACAGCCAGATCCAAAACTCTAACCACAGAGTCAGGATTCAAAGGCTCAGCTTCGTGACAGCAGGGAGCAGGTGGGGTGGGCAGGCAGAATGCCCTACACTGCTACACCTGCAGGCGCAAGGCTTGGTTTGTTCTAGGACCTCAGCTGTGGGCAAACTACGGCCCGCGGGCCGGATCCGGCCCATTTGAAATGAATAAAACTAAAAAAAAAAAAAAAAAGACCGTACCCTTTTATGTAATGATGTTTACTTTGAATTTATATTAGTTCACACAAACACTCCATCCATGCTTTTGTTCCGGCCCTCCGATCCAGTTTAAAACCCATTGTGGCCCTTGAGTCAAAAAGTTTGCCCACCCCTGTTCTAGGTCCTTTACTTATGTTATCACATCTAATCCTCATGATTCCCTGTGAGACAGTCTAGAGCAGCGGTTCTCAACCTGTGGGTCACAACCCCTTTGGAGGTCGAACGACCCTTTCACAGGGGTTGCCTAAGACCATCGGAAAACACATATATAATTACATATTGTTTTTGTGATTAATCACTATGCTTTAATTATATTCAATTTGTAACAGTGAAAATACATCCTGCATATCAGATATTTACATTACGATTCATAACAGTAGCAAAATTAGTTATGAAGTAGCAACGACAATTATTTTGTGGTTGGGGGTCACCACAACATGAGGAACTGTATTAAAGGGCCGCGGCATCAGGAAGGTTGAGAAGCGCTGGTCTAGAGCCACAGTAAGGAATACAGGCTCTAGAGTCAGGCTTCCTGGGCTCCAATCCTAAATCCATTACTCACTGTCTGGACAGCAGAGGGCAAGTTACCCGACCTCTCTATGCCTCAACGGCTTTATCTGTAAAAGACAGACAATAAGTAAATCAGAACTGCTGAGAGGGTCAGATGAGGCAATACATACAAGGGCTTAGAAACAATACATGGCCCATAGTAAGTGCTATGAACATAGTAAATAATAATGTGATTATTATTCAACTAGAGGCCTGGTGCATGAATTTGTGCACAGGTGGGGTCCGGCCAGTGGGGGGGCGGGGGAGGTTGGCTAGCCGGCCGACCCCGCCCCCTGGTCAAACTTCTGGTCAAGGGGACAATTTGCATATTGGCCTTTTATTATATAGGATAGTAACTATTATTAGTATTACTAGCATTACTTTGGTCTATACCAGTGATGGCGAACCTATGACACGAGTGTCAGAGGTGACACGTGAACTCATTTTTTTGGTTGATTTTTCTTTGTTAAATGGCATTGAAATATATACAATAAATATCAAAAATATAAATCTTTGTTTTACTATGGTTGCAAATATCAAAAAATTTCTACATGTGACACGGCACCAGAGTTAAGTTAGGGTTTTTCAAAATGCTGACACGCCAAGCTCAAAAGGTTCGCCATCACTGGTCTATACTTTACAGTTGAAAAAACTGATGCTTGGACAAGTAACTTGCCCAAGGTTCGCCCAAGTAATGAATGATAGAGACCAGCATTTGACACCAACTCTGCCTGTTTGCTAAGGTAACATCATGTCCAATTTAAAGAAGATCTATAACCTCAGATCTACTTGCTAGTTAAGAGGGTTTAATCTGGTGGAGCTTCCAAAGGTAAACACAGCACTGTATGCCCAATGAATTCAAAGACAGGTTATGGTACTTCAAAGCCACAGCTATAATGCATGCAAGTATAACCAGGCAGTCGTATGGGTGCCACCCACACACTCGTCCTGACAGCACGCTGACTAAATCTCTGCTCCGTCATCACAGGGGCAGTGTGGCATCAACCACAGGGCTACCACAAAGGCCTGACAGGCCACCTGCCTGGGCCATCGTACCACCTTGTTTCGTAGCATCCCCCTTTCCATAGAATCCTGTGCTCTGAGTCAGGGCCCTCCTCGAAGCACCCAGCCTGCATTTGCTGCAGCAGAAAGCCGTCTACCCAGCACACCTGGTCTCTGCTCCAGGCTCCTCAGGGAATATCTGGGCGTTTGGCTCAGGCAAGTCTCAAAGTGGTCCAATCAAGCGGCTGGCTGGCTGCCGGGCCAGCTCCAGGGAGCAGTTACAGGGAGGAAGGGCACCTGCTCTGGATGGAGAAAAGCTCAGAGGAATTCCTTTCTGCCTGGGTTCAGCCACGGTTTAGATACTAATGGAAGATCAGTTCTGCACAAGATTTATTAATTAATAGAAGAACATAATTTTTAAAATTGTATATCATCAGTCAACAGTGGCCTGAACGAAAAGTGTACTGTCAGTCACCAGTGACTGACGAGGTCCGGGCAGAAAGTATAGTGTCAGTCACCGGCGACTCACATGGCGCTTAACGTGTTAAGCATCCTTTGAAGCACAATGTTACCTATATTCAACAACCTCATTTATTTTTCATTAACAGTCCCATGAGGTAGGTATTTTTATTTCCTTTCCACAGATGAGAAACTAAAGATCAAGTAACTTGCTTAAGATTATAAATGGTGAGATCAAGAATCAAAACCAGGTTCTGTGATTCTAAAGTTCAAGTTTTTCCTATTATACTACATTGCAGATCTATATATATAAAAGCCCAGCAACTGGAATGGCGGAACAACCGAACGACCAGTGGCTATGGTGTGCACTGCGGCAGCCAACCAGCATGATCCGGGCCCTGATCGGCCCAGCTGGCCTGGCCCCTGATTGGCCCCCAACACCCTGATTGGGGGCAGGGCCAACTGCCCACCCCCCCGCTGGCCTGGCCCAATGGGCCCCCATTGGGGCAAGCCAGCCAGACCCCACCTGTGCACGAATTCGTGCACCAAGCCTCTAGTAATTAAATAAGTTCATAGGTATAATGAATAAAATGCTGTGAAAATATCAAGAGAGCAAGAATGAATCCTTTCATGAACGGGGCATGGGAAAAGCTGGAGTGAGACTTACAGGGAGATGGGCTCTGTTTAAGTACACAAGAGAGGGGCCTCCTATCTGTAAGGGGAGGAGGGGATCAAAGGGAAGCCAAGGAATCTCATCTGCCCCTGGAAATCCATGGTTGGTGATTTTACAAAAGTAAGAGAATCAGCTGTCAGCCTTCAGGGCTCAAACAAAAAATGTCCTCCACAATGTATAGTTAGATCTGTTCATTTATGGCCAGGATTTGACTGATACCACTGACTCAATATGGCACAATGATCAACCACTATTCCTGGGCCCATAAGACCTGAGTCACACCAGCCATAGTTGGGTTCAGGAAGGGACTGGAAGGAAAGAACCCATAAAACATCATGCGACTCAGTGACACAATGGTCTTGTGTCAACAAAAATTGGAAAGAGAGGAAGACCTGCCATTATCAGCTGCACTTGGTGAGCCTCATTCATTCAAGATCTAAGTTTCAAAAACTGAGATAGTGCTGGGAATACAGATAGACCATGGGCTAGACCTCAAATTCTTTTTAAATAAAACTGGAAAACAATGAAACTGGACTAGATTAGTGAGAATCAGGAAGTCCCAAATGTTAACTTTGTCAAATACAAACAGAAAAAATATTCTTTGCCCTTTTAATACCGTACATAAAATGAAATTGATTGATGTGAAAATGCTTGATGACAATCAAAATAAGACCTCAGAATGCCTGCTCTACATAAGGCAAGAAAAATGGCAATATCCAATGTTAAGGGGTCTTAATGTACTAAATTGGGCATTCTTTTTTTTTTTTAATGTATTTGTAACCTAGAAAATTGTAATCTAAAAAATCTATTTTTCCATAGAGAACTCAAAGATAGTTTGGCAGAGAAAGGAAGGACAGGAAGAAGGATGGATTATCCATGGTCCTATCACGGGAAGACAACACAATGTATTTTCCTTCCTCACAGCTGTTTTCAGACATCACCTATTCCCTCCTTAAAGTAGGGGGCGGGGTGAGGTGGACACGTGTGACCTGGGGGCCTAGAGCTGCAGAAAAATAACACTCAGGTAAGAGGAGAGGGCACAGGACACAGCCTACAAAGAGCAAATGAACTTCTTGGACAAAGCCCCTGAAGTCCAAACACTGGCACTCTGTTCTCATATACGGGCACTCACTTGAGTGCGGTAACCTAGTGGGAACCAGCTGCAGACCAGGCCACACCCAGGAGCCATGCTCAACCCCACAGAGAAACCAAGAAGTTTCTTGGCCAAAGTTGTCCGTGTTTGTGTCAAATCAAGAATGCCTGCTTCAACCACACATGGTTCTGCTGTTCCACCTGGGAGCTCAGGG